GCATCTTCAAGCGATCCGAGAAGGCCGGGTAACTCGGGAACTTGTAACTGGCATTCAAGATCGCCATCTGGCCAACCTCTTCGAACGGGGTGGTATAATAACACAACTTGTACAAGAGGACCCCCAGGGCCCAGATATCGCTCTTCTCGTCAATCGGCTGCTTCCGATAGACATCAATCATCTCGGGACTGCGGTACTGCAGGGTGGTATGGCGCTGGACGTCATCTTCAATCAACCGACCCTCGGCGGCAGAGGTGGCGGCCGGGCGAGGGGGCGCGGCCGATCCAAAGTCGCAAAGCTTATAAAGGGCCGCCCTGCCCTGGCGCGAGATCAGAACGTTCTCTACTTTGAGATCGCGGTGCAGAAGCGGGGGCTTGAGGTAGTGCATGCAGGCCACGCCTTCCGCCACGTCGGAGAAGATCTTGATGATTTCGGGCTCGGTCAGGCGATTCTGCAACCGCGTGTTCATGAAGTCGATCAGACCGCCGCCATCGCAGAACTCCATGAGTAAAAACACTTCGTATCCACCTCCGCGGAGTTGTGACGCATGGGAGTCCATATAGGTGACGATGTGCCGATGCCCCTTGAGCTTCTTCATGGTTTCGACCTCGGTGCGCATGTTGGCCAGGGCCGACTTATCCGGGACTGCCACGCGCTTCAGAACTGCCCGATCGGAGCCATCGACCGGCTGGGGTAGGCGCACGACGTAGACATGGGCGAAGCCTCCCTCGGAGAGGTATTTCTCGACGACGACGCGATGGCTGCCAACCTGAACTTTGGTCCCGGGTAGGAAAGTCCCCGCGGGGGCTGCGATCGCCGCTACCGGATTGTAGACGGGAATGGGCAGATGAGGCGCCGCATGACTCTGGTACGAGGCAGGGTTTGGTTGTTGGGAGGACATGTTGCGGGAGCGATCGGATTAGGGGGGAGGAGAGGGGCGGAGGAGGGGCCCTCTCGGGGCTCGACGGTCGATGTGGCGGACAAAAAGAGGTCTATGGCTACTGCATAGGACGCGAAATCAAGAAGGTATCGATCGGTATATCGAGTCCGGGGTCAGTATCCAAGGGATCGGTGGTGGTGACGATAGTGAGGGTTTAAGGAGCTGAACCCGAGGTAGACGGGGGCGAGAGGACAGTTGGCGCGGGGAAGAGGGAGATGTTGTAGAGGGTTTCTCCAAAAACGAAGGTTAATGAATATAGATCAATGAGCCAGAAAGTAGCGGGGGAGAAAGCCAAAAGGCAGCAGCACAAACAGCAGCCAGCAGGACTGAGGGGGAATGGGAATGGGGTGGGGGGGGGAATCGATGAATGACCGGGCAGGGGGAGGTGGAGGTCGGAGACGAGGGGATTGACCGCCTTGGACCCAGGAGGGCAGAATGCTATCAACAAGTCTATTTCGTTGTGTTGAACAGGTATGTTTACTTTAACGAAGAGTGGAAGAGAGAGGTAGAGACAGATGTTAGCGAGCCCTTCTGCCAGCCTTTTCGTCCGATGTGTTGTGGTCTCGAGATAGTTGACGCAATCCGGTCCAGCATCGGGGGGAAGGCAGGCATCACAGGCATCACAGGCATCACAGGCACCCGTGATGTTGGCCGGTGGCTGCAATTCACGGGGTCATCTCAGCATGGCTGTCAGGCGGAGATAATTTGGAGAGACGAAGAGATGAGTCTAGTCTATCTATTTCTATACTGGCTATCAGTCCAGCGCATCTATTAATAACCTTGAAACAGTGTTAACTACCTAACTACCACCGCCGTGGACAAGACGATAGAGGTTACTGGCCTGAGGCGGAAAGCATGTGGACGGGATGCAATGACATAGCTTATGTCAGCTCCGGCATAATTTTCCTCTCAAAATCTACCGGGCGACCATCGCCCAAAGCGTCGAAACCAAAACAAACAAAAGACCACCGCCTGGTCAGAGCATGCGAGCATGGCTCCACTGCAGTAATTCTACTCGACTACTCGACTATATCTCTCTCTGAGGATATTATTATCCCACGGTAGCAGCAGCTCATTCTTGCCAAACCTAAGCCTCCTACGGATGAGTTCTCCGTGGTGGAGATTCGATGGCTGGCTGGCTGGCGGACTGGCTGGCAGACTGGAATGTTTGGGTCCTTGATAGAATCATTCTCCACGGCTTCTCGGAGATCTGCTGGGTCGCTTGTCCGCCGCAAAAATGTGGGATGGAGATGGGGATCCGATGTGGGTATCGATCCGTAGATTGGAATACTCGAGCACTTACTTTATATGAATGAGTCTATGAGAACTGCCATCCTGTAGGCCGCGTATGCACTGAAACACCACCATTCACACACGCATCTTCAGATGCTCATCAAGATACAGGTAGTTAACTAGATCAATTGATTTAATCAGAGGTAACACCGACCGTTGCCTCTGAGTAAACACCCAAAGTGCCACCAGAAGTCTCCGAGGGTGACACTAAGCTGTCATTTGCCAGGATAATCAGTCAACTAATTAACTAATTAACTAGTTAACTAGTAACTATACAGGCTAGTTTGTAGTGTGTCTGTCAACTGTCAACTGTCCATTGTCCACTCCCGACAACTTCTTCTTCCAACTCTCCCCTCTCTTCTTTTCTTTTCTCTTCTCTCAACATCTCCGTCGCATTGACTGCGCATTGACTCTTTCCCCCCCCCCTCTAATTAGTGAGTCTCATCTCCTCCTACTCCAATCCCTCTATGAAAATTGAGAGAGCGGAAAGAACAAAACAAAACACTGACAGCGTCCTATCAGCAAACGCGCTGCCACCATCAGCGCCTAATTCATGACGTGCTAAAACACCATGCCCTATCCACGACCACCCGGACACGACCATCTCCCTCACCTGCATTAACACTTCTCGACGGACGCAATCAAAATATCCCAGCCAGCTGCACCCTCCACCCCCAACATAACCTCAAAGAACTGAGTTTGACGGCCGCCCCCATCTCTCTACCCCAGACCCTACGATAATACCCCAACCAAACCCACGGACCACCCGTTGCTGTCGCCGAAACCAACCAACCCTCCACCCTCCACCCTGCATCCCTCAAGAAACACGCCCTACCACCATCTATACCCAACTACATACATCTGTTATCACATAATCTAATCAGCATCTGGAAAAGAGAATCACCCCACCTAAAAAATGGACGACGGTCCACCCCCACCCCCTCCACCACCCCACGGCACCAAGCCGAACACCACCCACGGCGAATACCGCAAAACCTCCGATCTCCCGCCGGGGAACTACGACATCTTCATCATCCCGCCGCACTCCGCGGGCTCCGGCTTCCTCTACCTCCCCTCCCTGCAGACCCAGCGCAACAGCTTCATCGCCGGCTGCGTCTCCACCCTCCTCGCCATGCTGGTCTGGGTGGCCGTCTCCCCGATCCTGAAGTCGTGGTACGCCGCCACCGTCGCCAGCGGGAACGGCATGGGGATCGCGATTCTGGCGGTCGGTGTGGGTGTGGCTGGGTGGGCGTTTGGCGCTGCGCAGGCGGGTACCGGCGGCGGCGGTGGTGGTGGTGACGGGGGCAGCGGAGGTAGTAATCGCGGGAAGCGGGGAGGTTTCGGATTCGGTAGGGGAGGTGGAGGGGGCTTTGGAGGAGGCGGGGGCCCGGGTCCCGGGGGTGGAGGTAATGATTATGCGCGCGGAGGGAATCAGGGCTATGGAGGAGCGCCGGGTGGGGGACACGGGCAACAGCACTACGGGGGAGGCGCATACAACAACAACGCAGGAGGAGCAGCACCTCCACCACCACCACCAGGAGGAGGTGGGGGACCTTATGGAGCAGGAGGAGGACATCAGTACCAACAACAGCAAGCAGGAGGACCACCACCCCAATCGTCACCGCCGCCACCGCCGCCACCACCTCAAGCAGAGCCCGAACCCACCCCTTCAGCATCCACCAAGCCCTCCAGTGGCGCTGACTGGGAGAAAGCCCGCGAAGAAACGCGACGCAAGGAAGAACTCCGGCGCAAGATGGAAGCCTTCAAGCGCAAGCGCGAAGCCGAGCAGCGCGAGAAGCAGAAGCAGCGCGAGCGCGAGGCGATGGAGCGCGAACTGCGCGAGCGACGCGAACAGCTCGAGAAGGAGATGGCCGCCGCCAAGGAAGCCGCCGCGCGCGAGGCCCGCGAGCGCGCTGAGAAGGAAGCCGCCGAGGCCCGCGCCAAAGCGGAGCGCGAGGCCGCCGAAGCACAGGCCCAGCGCGAGGCCGCCGAGGCCAAAGCCAAGGCCGAACGAGAGGCCGCCGAGGCGAAGGCGCGCGCCGACCGTCTGGCGGCGCAGGCGCGCGAGCGCGAGCAACGGCGAGCGGCCGAGGCCAAGGCCCGCGCGGAGCGCGAGGCAGCCGAGGCCCAGGCCAAGGCGGAGAAGGAGGCAGCGGAGAAAGAAGCCGCCGCCAAAGCCGCGGCCAAGAAGGAGGCAGATGCCAAATTCGCGGCCCTCAAGGAGGCTGCCGCGAAGAAATACGCCGAGAAAAAGGCCAAAGACGCGCAGGAGGCCGCCGCGGCTGCCAAAGCGAAAGCAGCACCAGCAGCACCAGCAGCATCGGCAACATCGGCCCCACGAACCCCATCCCCGACCAAGAAGCCCCCCACCGCCTCACGAACCACATCCTCCGCCACCGCCGACGACGACGCCCACTCCTTCCGGCCCTACGACCGCGTCCGCCGCCCCTACGGCACGGCAACGACAACCACCACCTCCAGCTCCTCCGTCTACTCGGAATCCTCCTCGTACGCGCCCTCCCAATCCACGGCGCGCACCGACCCCCCGCCCCCGCCGTCCAACCGGGGGCCCTACGCGACCAAGGACCCCGATAAAGTCGTCGTCCACGGCGTCTACGCCTTCAACAACGCCTTCCTCCGCACACCGGTGGCGCAACTCGTCGCCGGCCAGGGGATGGTCTCCGACGGGCTCGTGCTGCGCATCACAACGGAGGGACTGTTCATCGACGACGACGTCCGCGGCGTGGGCCAGCGCGAGTGGGACGTGAAAGCGTGGACGATGAAACTCGTCGAGGTGTGGTGCCCGCGCTACGCGGCGCAGCACCCGCACCCCCCGCGCGGCCCGCCCCCCGGCCCCTTCACGAAACGCACCAACGAGCCCACCGCCGAGGAGTCGGACGCCTACCTCGCCAACCTGCTGAAGGTGTGCAAGAACACGTGCCGTCTGGCCACCCCGGCCAAGCCCGGCGGCGGGTTGCACGTGCTGCGGGCGTCGGTGCGCGACCAGGAAGGGAAACGGTATGTGTTCGTGCTGCAGGAGACCGAGGGGTGGAAGGTGGCCATCGGGCTGCAGCGCTTGCGGCGCGGCACCTTGTCCCGCGCGCTGGGCGTGTCCGGCTTGGCGGCTAACGAGACGAGGACGGTGTTGGCCGGGTTGGGGTATTGAACTTGCGCGCCGTGCCCGAGTCGCCTGAGGTCCAGTGCAGTATGTACAGCATGTACGGCACCGAAGCTATGGTATAGGTGACCCTGCTTCTCGTTCTCGGTCTTGTTGTGGGTAACAGTGATGATGATGGCTGCATGAGCATTTGGCCTGCCTGTCTGCCTGTTGTATGCATTGCATTGCATGGCGATGATGTTGATACTACTTACTCCCTCGCACCCCGCCCCTCTCCTCTTCCTATCATTTGCTTTGATTGCTTTCCAGTTCTGAGTGCTTTGCTTCAGATATCCCCCCCTTCGTTTTGATGATCCTGGCTTGGCTTGTTGGGCTTGAGATACCGACCGCTGCGTTAGGCTTCTCTCGCTCGTTCAATGTGGATAGTTACATAGAACATCGTACATTCAGTATATAATCCTATCCTATCCTATTCTATCCCTACCTGTCTGGTGCACAGTACGCTAGCTGTTGTAGAGGTCACCTGTCAATACCAACCCCTGGTTATAGCTTATAGTTCTAGGGATTTGCCCTGTCAAGGAACCCTAACCGTCAGACTGTAACTCTAACCAATCCAACCAACCAACCAACCCCAAACAGAATTGCACAGCGTAGCCAAACAATCGAAACCACCCTACATGGCCAAACAAATCCCATGGCCAACCGAGTCTCACAATCTACAACCCATCTACAACATATCCAACCTCCAGAAGAAGAATAGAGAGTAAAAAAGTATTGATCTCATCCGAATCCAGGATCTAGAAAACAAAAAAAAGAGAGAACCTTATTGGCATAAACAAAGAATAAGATAAAATAAAGGGTGTGGCAAAACACTAAAAAAGTCACTCATCTCATCCCAGGTATATAACGCCTATTGCCATCACAACAGTACAGAGAAAAAAAAACCTGGCTAACAAAATCAAGCACGGAGCCCTCGTTCTCATCTGTCGTTATCATCTAGTAGCGAAGCCGGAAAGGATTCTTTCTCACTAGCGGAGCCCACGAAACCAGAAATCAAAAAAAAAAAAAAATAAGACACACTTTCTTTCCTCTTGCTTTGCCCTTGCCATGCATCATGAACAGGGAAAAGTGGGTGAGAGGGAGGGAAGAAGATTAGAAGAAAAAACAAAAGTCTATCGGATTCAAAACCGTCAATCATCCCATCATTCAACGACATCGTTCTGTTGGTCATGCATGCTGGGATCAGAAAGGACTTCCAAGGTATTAGAAACTTCGTGAGGTTGGAGAGTATGAAAGGAGACACGGAGAGGCTGTCGAAGATGGAGGGAGTCGGATGGGGCGATTGCACGACGAGAAAGTGGGTATGTATGGTATGAGCGAATATGCCAATGACAAGGAGAAAAGGAAAGGACCCATCCCGGTTTATCTGTGATGCATCGTGAATTTGGCAGACACGGAAGACGGACTTTTTGTGCAATGCGCCCATTTTCGTCATGCAAAAAAGAAAGGTTAGTGTACCCAAGCGGATTGGTCACGCTTAGAAGGAGAATCCTCCAGGGAAACCTCCGCCGCGCTGGCCACCGGCTTGAGCAAAGCCACCTCCGCCGTTCATCATGTTGAAGAGAACGCTGGGGTCGATGTTGATATGGGTGCCACCCATACCGCCCATACCACCCATACCGCCCATGCCGCCCATGCCGCCCATACCTCCGAAGCCGTGCATACCTCCCATGCCGCCGCGGCCAAACATGTCAGCCGGGTCAACGAGGTCGTCACCGTTGTCGTAAGAGGCGCGCTTCCTGGTCGCTCGTTAGTATGCTATGTTATCAACAGGAACCCAAGGGAGCACATACTGAGGATCAATCAGAGTTTCATAAGCCTCACCAATCTCCTTGAACTTCTCCTCACCAGTAGGATCATCACGGTTCTTGTCGGGGTGGTATTGAATGGCCATCTTGCGGTAAGCCTTCTTGATCTCCTGCTCGGAGGCATCCTTGGAAACCCCAAGGATCTTGTAGTAGTCCTTGCGCTGTGCCTTCTTCAGCTCGAACTCAGCCCGGCGGATCTCCTCCTGGATGCCCTTCTCCATTGGGTTCGTCTCAGCAACAGCCTTGTAGTCGCGCACGGCTTCCTCCCAGTTACCCGCACCGCCATGAGCCTTAGCACGAATCTTCTGTGCCTTGAGATAGCTGGGGTCCAATTTCAGAGCCTCCGTGCAGTCATTGACCGCATTGTCGTATTCCTTCAAGTTGATATAGGCCTGGGCGCGGTTCTGCAGAATCTTGGCGTTCTGGTCCTTGTTCTTGGGGTCGACCTGGACGGCCTCGGTCCACAACTCGATGGCCTTGCGATAGTCCTTGGCCTTGAAAGCAGTGTTACCCTCCTCCTTGGTGCGCGTCAACTTCTGCACGGTGCGCAGCATCTTGATGGCCGCCTTCATGTCGGGATCCAGACCCAGGCACATCTTGAGCAGCTTCAACGCCTGATCAGTGTCACCCATGCCATAGAACGCGCGGGCGCGGATCAGCATCGCATCGGGATCCTGGCTGTTCTCGCGCAGCATGCCAATGGCGATATCCTGGGCCTTGCCGAAGGAGTTGTCGTTACCCATGCGCAAGTGCGCCTCGGCCGTCATCAGCGTCCACTTGCGAGGCTCCTTGACACCCTGACCCAGCATCTGACGCGCCTGGTCCAGGCAGAACAGCACCATCGACACACCACGGTCTTCAGCCAAAGCCTCCTCGGCTTGCTTGACAAACCGGAGCATCTTCTCGGCGGGAGCCTTGTCGGTAGCGGAAGCGGGGGGCTCGACGCGGGAGAGCACATCGAGAGCCTCGGTCGGACGACCTAGACTGACCAGAATGCGGGCGTGGCGGTACATGAGCTTGGTGTTGGTGGGGTCGAGTTCGCGGGCGCGCTCACAGTCCTCCAGAGCGGCTAGGTACTGGTTCGCGGCCATGTAGGCGGCCGCGCGGTTGGACAGGTAGACGGACGAGTCGGGGCTGATCTCGAGGGCTGTCGGATGTGACGATTAGATCTTGCCATGAGTGCACGAGTCTGGAGACGAAAGAACCTACCCTTGTTGAACTCCTCAATAGCGCGTGTGTAGTTGCCATCCTTGAAGAATTTGTTACCGGCCAGCTTGAAGTTGTCGGCCTCGGCAGTGTTGCCGTTCGAACGGTGGGGAGGGGGCGTAGGGCTCCGTTCCGTCTTGCCATTGACGCCATTGGTGTCGACATCCATTGGGGTGCGGGATTCTTCGCGAGCAGCAGCCATTGCGGAGAGTTGACGGAGTTCGTCGGGATGAAGATTAAGTGGGTGGAAGTCGGGGTCGTGGGTGTATCGATTCCGGACGGCGGACAGCGACGCACGAGGACCGGAGACTGACTTAGTCCGAACGGAGGCTGACTTGGAGGGGGTGGAGGAGGAGCGACTGTGGTGAGTCGGCCGAGCAGTGGTGGGTTTGCGCGGAATGGAAGGGTGCTGAGTCGAGGCTGGAACCGATGACGACTGCGGAGCACGTGTCGACGAGACGGGACGAGAAGCGGCGGAGGAAGAGTGAGAGTGTCGAGAGGAAGAAGAAGAAGAGTGAACAGTCTTTGCCCGAAGAGGAGGGGGAGGTCGAGTGGAGGGAGGAATTGAGGAAGGAGGAGGAGTAGGAAAAGATTTGGTCGCCACCGGCGGAGGGGGAGGAGGAGAGGAGGCGGGAGACGAGAGTGGAGTGGATCGGGTGGAAGTCGCCGCAGAGGAAGACGGGGAGGAGGAAGTGGAAGAAGTGGACAAGGGGGAAGGGGAAGGGGAAGAGGAAGAAGAGGGAGAGGAAGAAGAGGGAGAGGAAGAGGAAGATTTGGTAGACTTGGATTTGGAATGTGAGGATGATTTGTGACGAGAGAAGAAAAGATGCGGGAGACCCATGGTGGATGTCCCGCTGATTGGTGGAGCACAGCGGAGGTGTCGAAGTAGAACGAAGGCGGTGGAAGAAGAAGAGAAGAAGAGCAGATGGGGATGATGAGGATGGGGAGGATGATGATGAGGATGGGGAGGACGATGATGAGGATGCTGATGAAGATGATGAAGATGATAGCACCAGCAACAACAAGTCTAACACCCAACCACTGCACCAGATCACTCACTCAGTACAGTGTCCAGTGGACTGCACCGTGTACTGTACCGAAGTACTTTCTGTTCTGTCTTATCTGGATCCTGCTGACTCACTCCCCAAACAAAGAGGGGAACAGAAAGGATAAGCACAACCTAGAATCAACACTGCAGAACAGAACAGCTCTCAGAGCAGAGCAGAGCAGAACAACAACAACAAGCAAAGCAATAAAGCAGAAGATTCCAAGGTCAAGTCCGAATCTCCCTCAAAATAATAAACCCACCCGCTGTCACCGGCTGTCAGGCCCCAACTCTTTATGGAGTCCGCCCACCCGCCATAATTCCGGAGGCTGGACGTTTCCTGGCCAATATTCGCCCTCCTCTTAGCCTCTCCCTCTGCTCGCCTCGTCATGCTCCCCTCTTTCAATCAAACAATTCTCTTAGGCTAGTTCCTGTCTTTCAAGCTAGCTACCAAACTACGGAGTACCAAGCTACCGAGCGAGCAAGCAAGCAATCAATCAAAGCGCTTCCATTTGGTTCTACCCTTTCTATCTATCTGGGGTGCTGCTGGTCACTATCACTGAACTGGACAGTCTGGCCGATAGACATGGTGCGCTAACAAGCAAAAGTACTGTATTGTACATTGCGTACCTCCTCACCCACTCTGCCCCCTTCTCTCTCTCATGCTCATCCTGTCTCATCTCGTTTTCTTCCCTTCGCAAAATGCTTAAGCTTCCTCCCCTCCCCATGAAATTGCCATGCTCCAGCCCAACCCAGGCCCGTGCGCTCCAACCAAAGTTCAATGATCGCTTTGGGCCCGTTGCACATCAGTCGCAAGCTAAGATTTAGCAGCAGATTCAGTAGTAGTAGCCGCCGCCTTCTGCTTGTCTACACCTGGCGCCTCGCCAGATTGAGGCAGACCACCTCCTCCTAGCAAAACTCCCAACTGTAGATCGGCCTGGACATCACGGATGAGACGGCGAGCCTGGCCTTTGCAGCGCGCCTGTTCGGCAGAATAATGTCGCAGGTATGGTGCTATAAGCGCTTGATGGTAGTCTCGGCCAACCTCCTGCAATTGTCCCTCGATCATCTGCTCGATCTTCTTCTTCAATTCGCATAGCCATGCTTCAAGTGACTGCTGCACCTCAACTGCAGCTTTGCGGAACACTTGAGAGCCGTGTTTCTCGGCATACTCGGACATCATTACTCGGACCGCTTGCAAGGTGCCGATTCCTAGTCAAACTGTTTCAGTTACCGCGCCTTTGGCAGCCGCAGGAGATACAGTACCTACCCTTAAGCTGAGCGCACGCATCGTAGGTCTCTTCCAGTCCCGTTGCAATGCTCTCGCTGAATTGGCTGCTCGCCTTCCGTTGCTCTTGCCTTGTCCAATCATGGAGATGCTGCACTTGTTCTCTCACCGACTCGTGAAGAGCGACGAGTCGATCCTGAAGTTGCTTACTTATCGCCTGGGGCAGCTCCCATTTGACCGACTGGATGGCCTCAAAATGGAAGCAGCCGAAAGCCTCTCTTGATTCTTCACCTAGTTGCTGATAGGCATCGGGCACCAATTCCAGAAATGCCCTATGGCAAGTCAGATAACATTCCATAGGGATCGGTGCACAGTCGACCTACTTGCGCCATCCGGGCTTGATTTTGTTTATCATCGGAAGTGCTCTAGAGGCGAAGTCAGTTCCATCGCACAAGATCGGAGTATTTGACCGCATATTACATCTCATTATTCATGTTCTAAATGTCCGTCAGTCTTGTCTGTTCGCCGCGCAGCACAAGAGAACAAGAGGCAGGAAACCCACCAATTCTCGAAAAACACCCTGACGACGACAATTCGCCTGATACGTATTGAAACGCAGACCTCCTTCATGGCAGGAGGCATTCCAGCTTGCAACCTTTTCAGGAAATTTTTCGTTACCGAAGCGGCTTGCATGGCCTAGCTTGTTAGTTGGACATCCTCCTAGTGGAATTGAAAACTTACCCAGCAATTTTGTGATCTTACTCTTGATAATTCTCCGACTATCAGAAATACAAAGATCCCGAGACTTATTTGTGGCCTAGAGTCAGTAGTCAGTATCAGCTGCCCTGGGCTGTGGGCTGAGCCAATCTTCAGACCTACCTCGGCTAGTTTCTCCAATGCCCTATGGAATCCTGCCTCGATCTCCAGCTTGGTCTGGTCGGAAATATCTGCCACTTGCGTGATAATGGAGGACCAGAGCGTCATGGATTGGAGAAGTGAGTTCAGCGCCACCAAGAACCGTCGAGCAGCACGCTCGCGGGCTTTGCTGGTTAGCGAGATACAATACCGCTGCAAAGCAGGAATCTCGGTTTTTTCCAGATGCGAAAACCCACCAACCCGGATGTCAGGCTCAGGACGGCCGCGCAGCCCTTGATAGGCTCTAGGAGACACGCAGAACACAGCAAGGTTTCGCTCTAGTTCACCATAGTCACGACGAGGAGTAAGAGGCATAGCGTCATCAGCTTTTTCATCTTCTAGATCTAAATTTGCAATGGTTTGAGCGAAGTCGCGTTTGATTTCATGCTTCGAAAAGTTATTTCGAGCCTCGATGCAGAACTGGAGATCCTTGAATTCGATGTTTTGTTTTTCAACACGCAGCCGCTGGATTTCACTCTTCTCGTCCACGATTTGCTGCTGGATTTGGCGTCGCTGATTGTCGAGATTTTTTCGCTGAGCTCTCAGTTCACGCAGCTTGCGCTGAAGTTTTTGACGATCATCGTCCTCGTCTGCGTCTTCCACATCTTCAGAGAGGGTCATAGTCGAAATCAATTCCCCGGGCGACTCCTCGCCCATACTAATCCTCTTGCGTTTCTTCGGAGTAAGCACGACTGCATCGAGATCGCCTTCCTTTTCTTCTAGTTCATCGATCTCGTCCTGAACGGCATCAAGCTTTGAAGATATCTGTTCCTGGGATTCTCTGTGCACTTGGAGTTCCGTTTCCAAGCCCTCAAGCCGCTCCAGATATGCCCCCATGTCATCGTCAATAGACGGTAGATCAATTTCCAAAGATCGCGCGACTTCAGCCGGAACGATGTCATCGGTCTTGGTGCAGATGAACGTTATGTCATTGAATGCACCGTCCATGTGCATCTGCGTCTTGAAGTTCTTGCCCAACAGATCATGAGCAACTTTGTCATCGACCGCTCGATTGATGGGTGCCACAATCCAGTGTGCGGAGCAACGCTTCATGTACTCATCAGCCACCGCAACACGCGCTGCATTTGAATCAAAGACCCCTGGAAGATCAACTAGCACAGCTCCCGTCGACAAAGCTTCGGCTTTGACAAAGACCCGAACAACACGAACGAGAGGCCAGAGCCCAATACCTTGGTCGGCGAGTCCCCGATCGTCCGACGAGCCTTTCTGCTGCGAAGCAGGTGCCTTTTGAGCTGTAGACTTGGGCCTGCCCCTTTTCTTGCCCTTGCTGTCAATGTATGCCTTGAGGCCTTCGGAGAAACTTTTCGAGTGATTCTCTTCGATCCGAATGGTTCGGCCCAGTAAATCCGAGACTCTCTTGTCATCCATAAGCTTACCCGGCGAAGTCTCTAGAAGTGTCTGCCGCTTGAGGGCCGGGTATACAGCCATGATTTTGTCCAATGCGATTGCTGCCTCGGGATCTTTCGGCGCCTCGCCACGAGCCAGTTCCTCAGCATGGTCACGAAGCTCTGCAAAGAGGATGTTAAGTTCACGCTCCCAGTCCCTGTGATTGATAAACTGGACTTCCGCTTTGTAGCGGAATTCTCCATCATTGTAGGAGACTTCGATCGGGACGGCTGTGGATGCACGCATACAGTCGGTAGTCAAAACACCCTTCTCATCAATGAGCGCGTTAATCAGCGACGATTTCCCGGCACCAGTACTTCCGACAATTCCAATCACAACCTTCTCCTTACAAGCCTTGGAAAGAGTCTTTTCTATCTCGGCCCGCCAGTCGGTTTCAGTCACCCAATCATCGGACTCGCTGAAGAGTTCTCTCATGTCGGTCAGCACCTTGACACCTTTGGTGACAGCAGATTCAAGCGCCTCGATCTTTTGATCTGCTGTGTTACCGATGCTGTACACTTCCTCCTCCGATGTTACTGCGTCGGTCGCATCGACCATCGAGGCGTCCACTACCGGTGGACTGTTAAGGGCAGCAGCCGTTCCTTTCTCCTCAGCTTGGACTGGGCACAATCCAGGTTTAGCATCGGGGCTCAGCAGCACTTTCACTGCTGATTTGAATGTGGAAACTTCAGACGCAGGTCAGCAGGGCTATCACAGTTGGTGAAGCATTTTGAGACAAAACTCTAGTGAGCGGAAGTACTGACGCTGGATTGGAAAAGCTGCCGCCGCTTGGTCGGAATCCAGTTGCGCATAAAGCTTGGCATAAAGTATCTGGGCGAATTCGTAATCGTTTACCTGTGCTCCCTTGTATTGACTCGACGAGACTAGTCCAAGAGCTCGTTCTGAATACACCGCTTGAACTTCATGCTGTTCGGCTTCCCATTTCCCGGGAAGATCAAGAGGCGGGGATGCTGCAAGGTACCCTTCAGTTTCCTCGTTGGATCACCTCACCGGAGAGGATAAAGGAAGCTTACCTTTCTCGTGCCCTGCACCGCTATGGACGTTTCGAACCGATTGCTCGGCTACATAATGTATCTTGGCCAAATCATGGACCAAGGCCACATCAATCGGCTCAGACAATATGGCGGCCAGATCCATGGTCCCTTGCACGGGGCACTGAGGGCCAAAGTTCCGAATAGCACCTCAAGAACCAGTAGACTTGTTGAAGCGAGTAGCAGGGCTGAAAATGCGCAATGAACAAAACCACACGAAAGGAAGTGTGTTATCGAGCGGTCGTAACAGGGAAGGGGAAGGCGGATACGAGGGAAGAAGAGATGGGCGAGTAAGGAGATAGAGAGATGAAAGAGACTGAAAGTGAAAGAGAGAGGAAGCCAGGGTATAGGACAAGTATGGGCATATTTTGTCTCTGTGTTATGGCTGCTCATGCCGGATCCATCATTCACTGATAATCGTGTTATGCTGTAAGTGAAAAGACATGTGTTCTACCAAGATCTGTACAAACACTTGTGTTAGTGGGACACAGTGAGTAAGTGTATGTCACCAAGAAGCAAAGGGCATATGAAGTGCAAGTAAGAGATATTACAATCAAGAAATAGTAATCAGCACGACTAATCAAAGGTATTTATAAGTAGTTGAAGCAAACCAAGACTAAGCCAAATTTATGGGTATCATCGCTCTCTGATGCAGCAAATAGGGCCAAAATGAGCAGAAAAGCAATCAAGGTACAGAGGGAGAAACCAAAAGAACCACAGCTTGACTCTCCAAAGTGTTGTCCACTCATCATTCCAACACAAGACGAGACAAAGTAAAAGTCAGGGGTCTTTCTCAGCCCGAGAGAGCCCGATTTGCTCTCCTGCGAGCCACAGCTGACCAGCGTGACCTCCGGCTACTGCCATCTTCCCTTGCTCGATCGGGAAGCGGAACAAAAGGTCGATCGTAGATGTGATGTTCATATGGTGGAGGCTGGTCGGAGTATTCCGAGTCGGAGGCGTAGTCATCGAACACTGATGGAGAGGATGGATGCCCACCTCTACCAGTAGCACTGTGTATCGGGCGAGGAGCCAGCGGGGAGAGATATGGTGCCGATGACAAGGGCGACGGAGGCTTGAGGACCCATAGTTCTTCCGACTCAAGCCAGATGAGCTGGCTTGCCTGTTGAGTGGATGTCTCGCGGCACACTGGGCCAGTGGTGCGAGTGGGCTGAAGAGTGAGGTCTGTCATGCTCCTACTTCGCGACGCCCAGGGAGAATAAGCAAACGATGACGAAGGCGGAGGAGGGGGCAGGTTGAGAGCCGGGTAGGAGGATGTCGATGGGCTTGCTTCGCGAGGGCTAGGTGTGCTCAGGTCCCCAGTTGAGTGTATTCTGAAATGACAGCGGCGGCAGATGCTAGGGTCCTGTCGCCCTTGGGGTGAATATGGATAATAATCTGCCTTAGGCCTAGGAGAGTCGCATGCAGAGGCAGGACGCTGAGGTAGTGTGCTAGCCAAGCCAGTATCAAGGCGAATACGTGGAACAGTCATGTATTCCTTTGGGCTCTCCGATGAGACAGTAAAGCGGGAATCCGCGATGGGAGGGCCTTCTAGCGACGAGAGATCCATTTGGCCAAGTAGCGACGGTGGGGTAGGGCTCAGAGCAATGAGTTAAGGTAAAGCACAAGCAGCCGAGACAGTCTGGTAGCGAGAAACAACCATGTACACTTCGGGTGGTACGAGTCGATATCAGGAGGCAGTAAAGTGGAGGGGGATATGAGAGCTGCGGGAGGGAAAAATCATGCGAGAAATTGGACAACAAAAGTCCCGACAGCGGCCACGCTGTTGTTTAATAGACATGAAGTCGAGGCGGAGTCACCAGCATCACGACGCCGAGCGTCTTGCTGAACTCTCCGATGTGCACGGTCATGACGGCTTTCTTTGACCGTCACAGCAACAAAGAAGTCAGATGGGACAAGACAACCAACAGGGCCAATCCGCACGGAAAGCCTTACTTGCGCCTCATTGTGGGCTCACCAGATCCAAGCTATCTGGGCGCAATGGGGGGGAGCGGTGGAGCAGACAGCTCATGAACAGGTCGGGAAGGATTGAACGATCTCAATCTGTTGGTGGAGGAGACTCGGGTTGCCCGGCTGGTCTTCGCCTTGGTATGGAAACCAGCCAGGAATCCGATCCGTCGGGAGCCTTCTGCCCCCGCTATAGAAGGATCTTCCTGTTTGCCCTGTAACCTCCGATCCAAGTCGCATAAGATTTGACCCATCACTTAGAGGAGGGGCAGAGGGCGTACCGCAGCAGGATTTTGGGGGGGGTGGTGCACCCTATGTTGTGTGATGTGCAACCACTATGCCCAAAGCAGAACGAAGCAGAACGCGGGGACGCCGAGAAAAAGCATGCTTTCCTGCATGGAGCGACATCCATGGACTGCAGACGCCATGGTCAGGAGCTCATGTTTCAGAGTTGAGAGCTCTCAAAGGGATTGAGGAAGCGGAGGCTGCGTGATGGCCGCAGGCGTTGGTGTGTTGGTGGCAAGTCAATGGTTCGGAACACTGCCACTTCCTTTGTTATCCGAGCTTGTGTCCGCTTCTGCATTACGGCGGAAAAGGTCAATCTATTTGGGTCATTGGACTCCAGATGGATCTCCACCCCACAGAAGGATGATAAATAAGAGGCTCCTTTTCCGCGTGTCTGTGTTGGTGGTGGGAACAACAGTACGAGGTACAACGCGAGATTGTTGTTGTTGTTGTTGTTGTCAGACCGACAATGAGAGAGAGGAAGGGAAGGAAGTATGAGAAGCGACGGGCCGAGACCAACACATGACATGACCAGCCAGCCCGAATGGGGGAGGAAGAGGAGGACCGGAGTCGGAGTTCGTAGTCAGCAAGCCTTAGGAACAGCAAGAGAAAATCGATTGATCATAAATAACGATAACTACAGCAATAACAACACACGCACACACACAGCCACCATCAAGTCCCTCGCATCTAGTTGGAGACCAGATAACAGAGACCCTCCTCTGATGCTTCTAGAAACCACCTCCAAGAATCTCTCCAACTTAAAAAGATAGGGCTGACAGTGACACAATTGACCAGATAAAGTCGCTTTAATTTAGCACATGCTTTTCATGGACTGACTAATAACCCACTCCAACATAGCATATGAAACGAACGATGGACCACCACCACCATGCCACCCATCTCACTCATCTCACTTGCAGGGGGCAGGGGGCAGGGAGGCAGTGTTCAGATACTTCAGCCTCAAGTCTGCTTGGTCACCTCCGTGTTGCAGGATGAGAATCACCAATGAAACGCACCGCGATCGGATCTGACCCGGTCCCCGATTGATGAAGGATTGCCTGTGAAACCCTCGATGCTGCGGCCCCCAACCTAACACCCATGCACAATCACACCCTCTCTCTCTCCCTCGTCTCCAGATTCAGCCCCATCGATCAGCCTATCCTTGCCTCTGGATTTTGTGGGCACAATTGAACACGTCAAGACCCCAGCAGCAGACTAGACTACCTACGGCTGGACGAAGCGCTCGGTGGCAGGTCACCCACCGTGGGCGGGCGGGGCGGGCGGGGCGGGGTTTTCTGCGCAAGTAATCAATCTGCAGCAAACTCTGAATTTTGAGATCTCGCGGTCAGAAGGTAATGTGTCCATCAAGTGACAAGTCAATCTGAAAAAGATCGAACCCAAGATCAAGAAGAAAAGAGAAGTAGCATTGGTAAAGTAATCTATTACTGCTTCGAATTGGGTATGTGAAAGCAATTTCATGGGTTACATTAATCGTATCCAGCCACCAAAAAAAGGCTTCACTGAACCCCCCAAGGCGTTCCAGGAAGCATGTAGAGAAAGTTAGATAGGTCAAAGAAATATTTCAAGCAACGAATCGGATTTCTCTCCCAGAAAGCAAAACCTCGACACTAAATATAGCACAAACCCCCAACAGGGTCTCTTCATTTATACACACGCGCCCTAGGTTATAGGGTTTCCCCCGCCCGTAGTTGACGGCCGGACTCTCATGAAGGACCCGGGGCTACTATGGACAAGAAGGGGGAATCTAAGCAAGGAAAAGAGCGGCGGCGGCAGCGGCACCAGCGAAGGCAAAGGAGTTGCCGTTGATGGCGCTGGCAGCACCGGTGTAGAGAGCAGCAGAGGGGGAGGGGCTGTGTACCGGGTTAGCGTCTGGTTTGGTCTGCATACATGCTGCATACACTGCAGAAGGAAAAAAAAAAAAGGGAAATACTCACGTAGCGCTGCCGCTAGGGTAGCCGCTGCCGATGGCGGCGGCACCGCTGGGGATCAGAGCAGCGGACTTGGTGGGCTTGCCGCTGCCGGGCTTGCCAGGGAGGCCAGTGGCACCAGCACCGAGAGTGACGGTGGAGTAGGTGACGGTGGGAACGCAGGTGGTCACAGCGATGACAGTGACGGAGCTGCTGGCAGCGGCGGGGGGAGCACCACCGGCAGTCTCGGCAGAGGCGCCGGAGGGGACAACAGCGGGAGCCGAAGGAGCGGAGCCGGAGCCGCTAGCGGGAGAGCCACCAGCAGGGGAGCCACCGGCGGGGGAGCTGCCAGCGGGAGCCTGGGGAGCAGCGGTGGTACCAGCGGCGGAGGCACCCTCGGGGACAGAGGAAGTGGGCTGCTCAGTGACGGAGGAAGCAGGGACCTCGGGAACGGAGGTGGTGGTAGCAACGGGAGAGACGCCCTCAGTGGTGGTAGCAGCGACAGCCTCGGGGGTGGAGGTCGAGTGGACACGTCCCGGGCAGTTGGTGACGGTGGGAGCGCAAGAGATGATGGTCACATCCTCGGTCTGGTAGACGGTCTCGACATCCTGGGGGATGGCAGCAACGAGGCTGGCGAAGAGGGCAACGGTGGCAACGGAGAAACGCATCTTGAATGTTGTGTTTGTGGGTGTGGTGATAAATCTAAACCGTCAAGGTTGATTCTGTTATTGGGTTTGGTGGGTAAAGAGAGTGTGGACAGTTGGGCTGTGTTTAAAAGAGTGGCAGACCGAAGTCAAGAGGATTGATTGCTTCAAGCAGTTGAATCTGAGGAAAAGAGAAACAGAGAAGAATCAGAAAAGACTGGAGCAGGAGGAGGGGGGAAATGAGAGCCTTTGTATCATCCGGGAGATTAACCTGGAGATCGTTTCAGAGCCAAAAAGGGGAGAAGCGGGCTGCAGGCGAGTGGAGAGAACCAACTTGCGTCTTAGTCTAAGTCTTGGATGTCTAATGTTGGCTCTTGGGGCGCGGTGTAGGAGAGTAGATTTAGTCCAGGATAGTATAGTCTAGTTTGGTAGTTTGATACTCGAAACCTCATAGGCAGTTTAGGGGTCAAAAATGGGTCCACTCTCATCTGTTTTTTGTTTTTTTTTTGGGGGGGGGGTTATTTTTTCACTATGGTCCTCGTGGGATAGTCTCACGGTTGGTCCCTGTGCCCACTGCCCACTGCCCAGGTTCGGTCCAAGCGCGGGCGGTTCTGAACTGGTTCTGAACTTCTGATGGATGATCGGTTGTTCAATTGCTTCTTTCGACCTTGTCGACTTCCCTTTTTGGTTGGATCTTCTGCGCTTAGGGGTTCTTTAGTGTCCCTAGTAGTCCCTACTACTCCGTACTCGGGTCGGGGTCGAAGTATAGCACTCCCAGCTATAGGTTTCCTTTTACTCGTACCTGCATATCATGTATGTAGGTACCCTTTGGCAGTATGAGTATTTCGTGAACGACCGGACCAAGCTCTGTGATAGTTTCATGATTCATGCAGAGTAACTACACAAGCGAGGAACAGAAAATGCGTAATGCGTAACTTATGTGCTGAAACTGGCGAGACACCCAGAAGTTTGGGCTGTCACACCGCACCGCACCCAGCAATATAAGAGTCAGGGGCAGCAACTCAATTACGGAGTGGTCTAGTCTGCTCTAGTCTACTGAGCCACAGGAAACGTTTGGAGGCCCGCTTAGTAGTCCGTGTTTCACCTTTCCTCTTTAGGCCAATCAGCGCGCGCTTCTGTGGGTCACACAACAATTGCTGAAGTTGTCCCTGACGCCACCGACCATTCACCGTCTTGGCTGACATCCCGCTGTGGCTCGCTTCCCCGCTGTGCTCCCCTTCACGGAATCCCAGTGGCCAGCACAGTGGGTCGGCTCATTGCCCCTGTCTCGCTGCTGTGAAGTTTGGCCTTCTTCCATTGTGCTTGTTGTTCAGGTGGTTATTGTTGTTGTCTTGCTTCGGCAAAAGGCTTGTTGGTAGTCGTTGGTAGTCAATGCCAATACTCAATAGCCTGAGTAGCCTAGTAGTGAACCGAGTCAAGTCCAATGAGCCAAAAACTAAAGAATGGATAGTGTGTCCTATTTTTGCTCGGAAGTGATTCTTCCACCAAGGAGGTTGTAACCCCATTCTGAGAAGTATGCGGTTAGCAACCCGACTGACTTTTGCCGACTGGAGTCGATCAAAAAATCCCAATACTAATGCCGCTGGTCTTGACCATAGCGCCTGGTGCTCGAGGGCAACGGGCTGGGCGAGGGTTAAAGCCTCCGTCCCGATTCCTCGTGAAACCCTTGCTTGTTTAGGATCTTCTTTTGAGCTTGTTGCACTTCGACCGATTGATTCCCCCCGCGCATGTATTTGCGTGCAACTTCTGACGTAGCCTAACAACAACAACAACCGATGAGCAGCACTCTCTCCATGTGCTTTTCCCGCCGTCTCCTCGCCCAGTCCCTGAAGGCATCTCCGCAGTAGAAATCTCATTTCACCGTGATGACCACTGGCCCCATCGTATTGGACGAGTCCAGAGTCTCGCTCGGCGCCACGGTCGTCCTCATTGATTGCTTAATCTAAACCTACTAGTCACTAATCGAGATTCGGCTAGCCCCTTGACCTCGAGAGTTGAGGGGGACAGACTACCACCTTGTTGGCTGTCCTTTCTGACTTTTGCCCTCGAAGCGATGAGCAGATGTTGTGCGTGTCGCGATCGGCGTGGTTTGTGGAACGCGGCAGAAGCAGGAGAAGAACAATGCAGTGACGCGTTGGAAAGACGCCGTGCCTACAGCAAATGCATGCAGAAGAGGTGATGGCGCAATCGAGAAGGACTTGGTTTTGATTGGGGGAAGGGAAGAGTTTCGGAGATGGGGGTTGCAGATGGAACCTCACTTGAACCGAGTGAGATTGAACAGATGGTAGCCGCCCAAATGCAGCGATCGCATGCTGGGCGGGCGGCTAGCATGGGGTAAGTAAGTTCCGTTGCTTAGTTAGTCGCAGGTAACTTAACTTAGCAGCTGTTCATTCCACCATTGAAATGTCACTATCATCGGCAGACTATTGGAACCCTCTTTTCTGCTATTAAAAGCTCAGACGGGCTCGTCGTTGGGAAAACTGGGTGATCATCTCCGAGAATTTCACCCCCAACCCTGATCCGTTGCGACACGGTTTCTTTTTTGGGGGGGAAGATCCGGTGCGATGAACTGGAAAAGGGGGCCAATATGGGCTGCTAACTTGGGATCAATTGTCAATAGTGGAATTCCTGGATCCAGAAGTCTTGATTGGTATGTACGTGAAGGATGGCGGGCAATCGTTTAACCCGTAGTGGCAGAAGGAACCATGATATGCAGCGAACATAACGTCAGGAGAATCCTGCCCTCAATGCCGTGGCAAGGGGAAGGGCGGGCGGGGGATCACCAGAAAGGAAACAATCCTACCACTATAAATTGCTGGCGCGCCCTGCAAACACTCGACGGGACTCTTGGTCGAGCAACCAGAGGTTACGAGTGAAGAATCTTGTTCAAGACCCCAAGTGCCGGTGCTGGTTGAAGTCGGCTCCGCCGATCAACAGGGGCACGAACTGGCAATCAATCGGCTGCGATGTCCAACTTCGGATTCACACCGGCGTGGAACTTGAGCTTTTTCTTTACCCCGGGTTTCTGATTGATGGTATTTGGGCAGCATGAGTGGAGTGAAAAGCATTGGCCTACCCTTGGATCTGCTGTAAGGTGTGACCAACATCCGCTATCCTCGTCATCATCAGAAGCATGTAGTCATCGAATCGAAGACTGCGTCGATGATCAGGGTCGACGCGCCAACAATGAGAACATGGCGGGACTCACTGACGCTGATCGAGCAAGTGTCTTGGAGATTTGGGGTGGGGGAAAGACCTCCTTCAAGCCAGGATCGTCAATGCCGCGCGTTCTACCGTAGATACTCGTAGCAACCTCTAGTTACTCTACTCAATCATCATGGCCTGCATTTGAAAAGGTGAGTTGGATTGATCGTGATAGAGTGATGCCACGGCGCATGACCGCTGCTCCGCTGCATAACCGAGAACAAGCCTCGCCGCTTGGCGCCGTTGTTGACCGTAGGGCTACACTAGTACTCGGTTTCAACGGAGGAGAGCCGAGGATGATGAATGATGGATGATGGATGGCTTCCGAGTTGAGTTCAGGGTTGGGGTCGAAGCCACAGGGTATGAGATCATTAAGGTGCAAGCTCCCTTCCAACTGCGACCTCAAATTGGCCCTTGCTAGTCCACAATTATCCCAACAGATACGGAGTACCAACAATTAGCATCATTCTCATCGTCATAATCGGTTGGCCCCGTCGCTATGGCGGTGCAAAATTGGCGGATGCTATTTTAAACCGGCTCAATAGTGGGTCGGGGAGCGTTTGTGGCTGCCCCCGATATGCTTGCTGGTGGCTTCGAAGAGATCGAAAGTTTTAAAAATAAAGACTTGGTGAAAGGGAGCGAGCCAGCGTCATTTGTTGGACGTCTGTGTGTCTTTCCACAAGGCTGAAGATGGCACGTGTCATGTTTAATCCTCGTCCTGGGAGGTCGATGATGGTCAACGAACTCAAAGAACGATCACCAGCATCATCATCACTACGACGACTACGACAATTGCCCCAATCAGAGAGTGAGAGATGCCTAGAGAGCAATTTTATGGCCCCTTCTCTCATCTCCTACCGAGATGCATTTCTTGGAATGAGCTGGGATGGACTGGGACGAGGGAGATGAGATGTTCGACGGGCCACAAGCACTGGCTGGTATAGATTGAAGGTGGAGTTCCGGGTGAAAGTACCGGGTCGGTTGGATGGAGCTTCGAAGCCAGCCAGGGACAAGGCAGGCAGATCAAGTACATATGAGAACTGGCCGGTGAACGGTCAAAACCCTCGCTTCCACTAGATACTATCACGAAATCTCTCTCTGTTCATTGGATGGGAAGCTGAAAAATGAGTTTTTTTTTGCAATGCCCGCAATTGAAGAGTTTTCATGGATGCCTATGGTTGCCCGACCCTTAAGGCATCGGTTGAACAAAAGAACAATAGACTGTTGTTGACAATAAGCTAGGGTTGATTGAGTGCGCTGGATGTAAAATCTAGATCCGAACAAGAGTTAATAATAAAAGTCATTGATATCCACCTTGAACGTGAGATAGATGAAGTGTGTATCTAAAATGCGAATTATCTCCTTGGAATTGGAAGGGAGTATATAAAAAGATCGCCGAGTGGACACTGAGCTGTCAAGAATAGTAGCAATTCTCCAGCGCTTTTTGAAACAGTGCGGTTCCACCAGGTCGGACTCCCTCGCCTGTCACAGCCATTAGGTATGTCGAGGATGTGATGTGATCATATTTAATCCTGGCTGCTAGCTGTCTTGACTTTGGAACTAAATTGCTTTAACTTCTTATATCTTATAAGTTGCTTGCAGTTTAGTTGTCAAGTTAGTGAGTGGTGTGGAGGTTTGTTTCCATCAGCTGCTGCCAATTGACAAAATCAGCGCCCTCCTCTCTCTTCTTCTTCTTTTCTTCTTCTTTCTTACAACAAACAAACACCAACAACTTCTTCTCATCTTCGGAAATTCCTCGAATGTTGGTCATTAGTCGCCCTCACTCGCTTGGTTGAAATTGCAAATTGCGACTTTGATGGCATCGTCTGCTACATCACCTGTCAACTGACTTGCTTCGATTTACCCGGCTGTTTTTGTTATCGCCAACCCCTCTCTCTCTCGCTCTCTTTCTCTTCTCCTCTCAGCCGCCGCCGCCTGCCTGGTTAACCCCACGGCCCTCTTTGTTCCGACCACCTCACCACCACCACCACCACCACCATCAATACTACACCACCTCCTTCTCCTCTTTCTCATCTCTTCAAACAGTTCATCTCAGCTTTCCATAGCCGCAACCCCTCTTTTCTTCTTCCCAGTTTCCCCCCTACACTCTTTCAAAGTGTCCAACCCAAAGACCGCCGATCTGGCTACCTTGGCTGACCCCAACGAGTTGTTCTTGCCTGGTGAGAGGCAAAACAATCTCGCAATGTCATCCTCGCCAGTCCCCCTCCTCAAACCGCCTGTGCCGGGTAATCGCAGCAATGGCAGCAGTCCTCGACCCCCCAAACTCACCCTGGGTATTCCTCCTTCTCCCAACGCTCGTCCCGTCACAGGAAATGGTGTTCCGACCACTGTAGCGCCTCCGCCGACCGAGGTTCCTCAGCTGCAGCGGCCGGCTGCCCGCCCAGCTCCTCCCCAGCTGCGCCTCGCTACTCCCATGGGTAGCACTCAATCCATTCCCCAGGTCAAACCCCGACCGGCTCCTCCACCTTTGGCGACTAGCGGCCTGAACGAACCGAATGGACACTCTCGAACGGGCAGCTTTACCTATCTCGACGGGAAGGCCAGTGGGCCGGCCTCCGCTTCCTCCTCCAACTATTCCGCGTTATCGTTCGCTATGGGGCTCCGACAGCCACATGGCAGCACCCCCGATCCATCATCTGCGATCAGTTCGGTGTATTCCGACCGGGAAGGTGGAATTTCAATGGAGCGGGACAGCAGCGTCAACAACTTGATCCCGGATCTGGATAAGCTGAGCTTGGAGAAGGGCAGGCCCCTCGACGTGGACGACCTGGATGATGAGGGCTGGCTCGCAGCCAGTGAACAGAAGAAGATCGTGGAGCTGGGTAGTCTGGGTGAAGGCGCGGGAGGTGCTGTGACTCGTTGCAAGCTCAGAGAAGGAAAGACCGTCTTTGCTCTGAAGGTGAGTTGCGCAGCTGAAATGCCACGCTTTCAAAGGATACTAAAGGCTGTCTCAGATCATCACAACCGATCCCAACCCCGACGTCAAGAAACAGATCGTCCGCGAACTCAATTTCAACAAAGACTGTGCCTCGGAACACATCTGTCGCTACTATGGTGCATTCATGGACAAGTCCACAGGAACGATCTCGATCGCAATGGAATTCTGCGAAGGTGGCAGTTTAGACAGCATCTACAAGGAAGTCAAAAAGCTGGGAGGCCGGACAGGAGAAAAGGTGCTGGGCAAGGTCGCCGAAGGCGTCCTAAACGGCTTGACCTATCTCCACAGCCGAAAGATCATCCATCGAGGTAGGCGCTCAGACATCCATTTTCGTCCATTGGTGATCGGACCTGTCTAATCCGGCATGTACAGACATCAAGCCGTCCAACATTCTTCTTTGCCGAAACGGTCAAGTTAAGCTTTGCGATTTCGGTGTCAGTGGAGAGTTCGGTACCAAGGGTGATGCGAACACCTTTATCGGTACATCGTACTACATGGCACCCGAGCGGATTACTGGACAGTCGTACACGATTACATCGGATGTCTGGTCTTTGGGAGTGACTTTGCTTGAAGTTGCCCAGCATCGCTTCCCCTTCCCAGCTGATGGGACGGAAATGCAACCACGGGCCGGTCTGATTGATCTTCTAACCTACATCGTCCGTCAACCAATCCCCAAGTTGAAAGACGAGCCCGACAATGGCATCCGGTGGTCAGACAACTTCAAGTACTTCATCGAATGCTGGTATGTGCCTGTTACCCCCTTCCATGATGGGTTTGCGTAACTAACGATGGAACTAGTCTGGAGAAAGAACCTCCACGACGAGCGACTCCATGGCGGATGCTGGACCATCCCTGGATGCTGGACATGAAGAATAAAAAGGTCAACATGGCCAATTTTGTGAAGCAGGTGTGGGATTGGAATGAATAGACTGCCAACACAGCATCAGGACCGCCGCAACCATCCGTGCTCACATTTCTTTCATTGGGCTGATATTGCTACCTCTATTAATTCGATCGCATATTACGGTCTTCCCTCTTGATGCTGACAAGTGGCTGGCCCTTGGTTGACCCGGATGTCAACAGCATACGAATCTGTGATCACCATGACGCTCATTTTATTCTCACTGTCTATCCTTCCTTGGGACCATGGAGTTGGAAATGCTTTTGCGCCCTTTTTGACTATCATCGCCCGACATGATCACGCCTTTCCTTAATACCAAATCCCTCCCCCGCCAGCGACAAGGCCCGAATTGTCTACGCATCCTCGTTTTCTTCCACCAGCACGAACCCATTTGCATTCATCCAGCAACTCGATGTTGTTTTCGCATTTGCTCCAAAAAAGGGATTTCTCTGTTTTTGCCCGACAGCCAGCGGTGCTGGCTCTTCTTTTTTCTGCTCTGATCACTGTCCCCTCTGCGTGTTCCACCATCTCGATTTTCCCGGTCTATCATTTTGCACGTGAGCGAATCCATCCATACATAACATACATTCATACATACATTTTCAGAGAGTACCCCACCAAGGCATCTATCTTCATTCACATACATATGCGCAAACCATCTTGTTTCTTGTCTTTTCTGTCTTGCTGTGTTTGCTTTTTCATATTTCTATTCGAGGACCGGGTCCGCATCTTGTGTATATTGATTGGCGTCTATCCAATTGAGTCAAAACTCATCATCATCATCATCATTTCCATCGTACTCATTCCATACGATCATCACCATGGTATATTATATGCATTTGCCCGCGTAGAGCAGACAGTCACATGATTGAAAGCCTAATCTGGCCCCGGACCTTGTCGACCACCGTCATGCCTTGGGTTCTATGAATCCGAGTGCCAGATCTCTTGCTCGAATCTTGTATTTATCCCGCCCGACCAATATTGTTGCCGAGTCGGTCCAGACTGCTACCCCTACAGTACTAGAAAGTGGTATGCCATATGGTTCCAAAGGCACAACACAAGTGAGGTGGGTAACTCATCCAACATGGGTCCCAATATACACATACCAAGTATACCCCAGGAACTTCATTCTAGTATTCTTAATATGAAAAAGGCTCGTAAAGAAGAAAATGGGATATTATTTATAAGATATCATGTCATGCCATGCCTGCTAGCAGCGCTATCAATACAACTGAAAAAAGAATCTTCACACCCACCATCATTACCAAACATGCAAATGGAACACGTGATGCCTTCAGATAAGTACTGGGCCGGTTGCGGTGTGGCTCTCGTTGAACCGCGGATTACTTATACTCATACTAAGAACGGTGAACGGGCTGCGCGCCGAGCACCCACCCCAGTCCACTGACTAGTCCATCCGTCACCATGTTACTGACGACGTCTCTCTTGCGGACGCGATCGGAGGGTCCCCCGCCGCCGGGCTCGTAATTCTCGGCGGAGACCACGGAATCGGTTCGTACGTGCGAGGAGCTTGCGGTGGCTGTGTGGGAGGAGGGCGTGAATCCGTTGTTGTCGTGGTGGGAGGAGGATGGTGAGGCAGTGGTGGTGGTCTTGGTGGCTGCTGCGCGGAGCGGGAATGCATTCTTCTGCAGGGCTAGGGCGGCGCCTCGCGCGACCTCGAAGAGGCCCATGGGCGCTTCTTCGTGGTTGAGGCGATGATGCGAGGCGTGCGCGCGGGCACGGCGGGCTTGGTGCTGTCGGGTTTCCAGGGCGTCCTGCTCGGAGGAATCGGCGGGGCCGAACCCGCCGGGGAGGCTTTGCATGGTGAGGGAGGATGTGAGGTCGCCCTTCGTATCCCAGATGTCTTCTTCGAGGGATTCTTGCGTGCGGAGGTTGCTGAGTTCCTCGTCGCAGCGTCGCCAGGCACCTAGAATCTCTGGGAGCGGATCCGGGTGGTCGGAGGGGACGAGGATGAGGGCAAGGGAGAGAAGCTCCATTCTTTGGGTGAGGTGGGTGATTTGGGACTGCGTGGTGGGAGGGGTAGACGTGCTGGGCGGTGGTGGGCGATACCGTCCGGCGGAATACACCGTACGCCAGGTAATGTCGTCTGTGAGTGTCGTGTCGGGCGTGGATGCGGACGAGGTGGGTGTAAGCCGGGTAAGGATGTAAGAGTAGGCTGTTCCGAAGTCGTGGGAGGTTAGAGCGGAGTTGATGGCTAGAGACATGATGCGGCGTTCGGCGGTGAGGATGGCATCCTGTTCGGGAAGAGGGGCCAGAGTGGAAGCTTCATGGTGATCTGAGAGCCGCGGAGAGAAGCCGGCTGCGACAAGATTGCGGCCTATGGCCAGAAGGTCGTCAACCTTGGTGTAGCTCTTGGGGTTCTGTTCAAGGACTTTTTCAATGAGGGAGAGAGGATCGGAGTGTACGCGGATGCTGACGGGCTGGAAGGGGACGCCGTGCTGTAAGGTGAGGGAATAGAAGGACAGTGAGTGCGTGGCTGAGATAAGAGCACCAATCTGCTTGAGAGCAACCGAGTCTGAAAAGTGCGGCTGGAAGGCTTGAAGGCTGGTTGGCGATGGCATTAGTGTCGCTCAACTATGATACATGGGATTAGTACAGAACTCACATTTCGTAGGCTCTCTTCATGCCACCACGAGTTCGATTGCCGTTGCTTGCGTTGTCATATGCCGTGTAAATGGTCTCTCTGACGGCCTCTTCGACCTTGGATGACGTCAGAGTTGAGTCGGAGCTAAGATAAATGTCGACAGCGAGTTTGTATTCTGTCCCTGTTAGCTAATATGCTGATGACCCGGCAAAGAGAGCTGCTTACCTCTGACTTCAAGCAAAGCTTTCAGGACTTCGACTTCAACAACCTCCCGTTCTACTCTCCAAAAGATACCATGGTAGGCAGGGCCACTGTTATCCTGTCGAGACCTGTGATCTGCTACCCAATCACACAGCCAAAGCAATTGCCTACGAACCTTGCCCCAGTCTCGGCCCGGCTTGCTCTGTCTGATCATAGATTGAACCACACCGCGCATTTCGAGCAGTTGCGTATCTACATTGTTGTGTAGACAAAGGTTTGCGGCTGTACGACAGGGCATAGGATAGCCGAGCTCACTCAGCACCTGGAGAGAGACGCAAATGGCGCTGAGGAACGAGATGGATGCGGGAGACGGACGTGTGAGCGGGTTCGATGTTGTGAGAAGCGCATTCTGCATGAGGGAGACTCTCGAGGTAGACGAGATCTGGTCCGAGTCAAATACCACTGACGGTAGTTCTGCATCATCGTCTCTCAGAGACAAATGCTGCTCCAGGTCCAAGAAACTGGCGACCCGCGCAAGGACTTTGATCGACCCATCCAAGGCCGCTGCGCTGACATCGGCATTGGCGTAGACAACGGCCAGTCCAGTCTGTCCGTACCGCGTCCGCAAGTCTTTCATCTCGTCACTTGGTAGGTTAGGGTCCTCCTCGGCATAGCCTCCCAGGTCAACATCCTCCGGGCCATCCCAGTTCGTGAATGCGTTGACTGCGCTCTCGTGATCCACCAAGCTGCGCGCCAGCAGCCACTCGTTAACCTGCTGCCATCCTACCCCTGCATTCGTCTTCGGCTTCACATCGTCCTGCGGAAGTGAGAGAGTGTTTTGCTGCGCGACTTCGTTGAGCTTCCGCCGCTTGGTCCTGTTGCTGCCATACATCCACGCACCCACCAGCCCGCGGAGGTTCTGCACTAAATCCATACTAGTTTTCGTATTGCCGGTCATTGAAAGTAAAACATTAATGGCGATGCTGTTGTCCATCGACTCAAGGATATCCAGAGAGAACGTCTCGTCCTGGCTGGGGTAATATTCGTAGTTCAACCGCAGCAAGGGCAGTAGACTCGAGATTAACCATGTGCGGAGGATAGGAGAGCGTGGATAGAATGGTACGAGAAGATCGAGAATGAGGGGTTGGAGGGCGGTTTCGGAGTCGATGCGATGGGCGCGGTGGATCAAGAATTGGGTCAAGAGGTCGGTTGAATCGTCGGTGTCCTCGTCATCGGGATGCCTTAACGGCAGTAAACGAACCTTGCGTACTCGTTTCCGTGCAATGGTTTCGGTCAAATTCTGGACCGGAGATGTGTCAAGCTCTGCAGCCGTTGAGATGGCGGGCTCTCCATCTACCAAGGCTTCCACGACGGATGTGTATGTTTTGGGCGGGCAACTCTCGGGGAGGAAGGTCAGTATGATGCGCAAGAGGCGCTCGGTTGGCAGCCAGCGAGGGTATTGAGCTTGGAGTTGCGATAACCGGGAGACATCGCCGGTGACACAAAAGTGAATGGCTAACAGAATCGCATGAGCACCTGAGAGCCGAGAGGAACTGGCCATGGCGTGATAAAAAGAAATAAGAAGATCCAGGCTAAATGAGTAAAAGCAAGAAGAAGAAGAAGAAGAAGAAGCTTGAAGGGAAGAGGGTGATGTGTTCGCGAGCCACTTGGGAAAGACGTCAAGCCTCCCGTCCCGTGCACAGACCGACTTCCGAGGCGGAAAGCAGAAACCAGCAAATCAGCCAATCAATCCCCGGGCGGTGGAAGAATGAACCTCGATCGCTCGCTGCACCCACTCACTGCACTCAACTCACTCAAACCTCCGCTCCAGCAATCCCTCCTCCGCCTCCCCCCTCTACGTACGCTCGACGCCTCCGTCCTTTCGATCTCCTGTTCCCACCCTCTCTCAATCTCACAATGGCTTCCGGCTTCGGTAACAACGGCGGTATGTTACTTCTCTGCTTGGGCTGCGGGCAATTGACTGCCACTTTGGCTGGCTTCGCCGGCCCAGGCGCCCGCTTTGACAGCTTCGCCGCGGACATTGTCGGCTGATCTCGCTCTCTCCCGCAGGTCCTTCCCGCTGCTACAACTTCTGGCAAGAGGTCTTGGGTTGTTATGTTGTCAACTCGGCCGAGGGTGAGGTTGGCAAGAAGAAGTGTCTGCCTGCTTTGGAGGATTACCACGAGTGCCTGCACCACAAGAAGGAGGTACGCTTGAATGCACCGATTGTGATCTGTCACCTTTAAATATTTCGATCCGAGAGGGACCGGAGTAGACGAGGGAGGAAGAGTAATAGTCCTCTTACTGACGTCCTCTCTTGCTTGGGATTTCTAGATCATGCGCACGATGAAGATGCAGGCTGCCTACCGCAAGGCGGAGGCCGCCCACCCCCGCGACAATGCGCCCAAGGCCGAACAGATCCGCAGTCTAGGTCTGCTAGGGAAGGAAGAAGAGTCGGCTGCGTTCTTGACACGGGCATAGGAGAGGCATGTTGTGCGCATTTAGGGAGTGTGGATTTCATGTTGATTGTTTCAATTACTACCAAGATTCTGCTGGTTTGTTTATCCGTTCTGTCTGTTCATCACTGCGAGGTCCTTCAATGTATAGAAATGGACAAATTTCCTTTTGGTGCCTGCGTGGGTTATATTGGGCCCAAGCTTGAGGTCTGCAATGCCAATGGTCGCTCTCCACCCATGATGATGAAAGACAATGACTGCACAGTTCAATTTCGGCAATTGATAATGCACACATGAGAATGGCACTGTTTGTCTTTGGCCAGGCCCCGATTAATGCTGTGTGTAGTTCCGGGGATCGATCCTATTTGGCATGTGTTATAGTTAGAGGTATATTGGCAAGACAAAGAAACAACCAAAATAAAGCAAGGCAAGGCAACGTGTAAGGGCGTCATAAGTGGGATATCAATGATTCTGATTCTCTTCCACGTGTCTCTGCAATATTACAATCATAGGGAATATTTTAATATATTGGTGTGTCCGCAATGTAGTGCACAGTGTTGCAGGACATGATGGCAGAATTCGAGAACTGGAACTGAACTATATATATCTAGCCGGCTTTAGTCCATGGGATTTTAAGCACCAATGTATGCGACGTGATTGGCTCCTCTATCTCCCACGTCATCCGAGGCTCAGAGGCTGTCATCTTTCGGGACTGACTTCTCAAGGCTGGATCGACTTCTTAAGTCGTTAGCGACCTTCAACGGAGTCGTCAGCAGAAGAATCACCGCAGTCGTCGTTGTCGTTGACCACACGGGATGGAGTCGCGCGACGAAGAATTTGCGGCGGAAGCAGGAGGCCATCTGGCATTTTCTTGGCACGCTATTGAAGGGGCGATCGAAACAAGCTCACATGGCGGTCTCACTGGAAACGCACGCAAGTCATTTGCAGGTTGCTACATACATATATTCATCTCTGCGCGGTGGATTATTGAATGCAACACGCAGGGCCTATCCCCGTCCGGCTGCTGACGGAATCGCAATAGTTAACTTATAGCGATAGTTCTATTACCTGGTATCTGGTATAGCCTACCGTCCGTTGAGTGAGTGTGTGTCAGGTGGGTTGGCATGCAAGCAGGAGAGTAGACATAGGCCAGATTAAGGATTACTTGTACAATCAACCTCAATATCCTTCTTTTTTTTTTTTTTTTTTTCCTGCGCAGGGAGAATAACTCACGTGACTCAACGAAAACCTTTACGGGAGTGGGGGGCACTAATCCGGAAGCAGGCTAGTGCCCAGGGCCCAAGTATGGGTAGGCGCGCCCAGGCAAAGATGCCCCCAATGATATAAACAGGCTGCGTGACCTCGAGGGCAGGCCGAGCAGCTCTTGTTGATGCTCCTGTGCAGCCCCAGCCCCGGTACACGCCCCGTCCGTCCGCCGTCCTTACTTACAGACTGACTACTACTACTTACTTAACCTACTTTTACCTACCTTACCTACGGAGTACTTTACCTACATTAACTACAACTACAAGGCTACAGAGTTGAGCTAGCTACGTACTGAGTACTACCACCACCACCACAGGTACCACTCAACTCAGCCTGTCTCAGTTTGGTCTCCGACTCTTCATCGTCAACTCCCATCACATTCCCGTCATCTCCCGAATTCTTTTTTTTTTTTTTTTTAATACTGGTGGAATTCGAATTCCTGATATCATTACCTCGAATTCTATTCCATTCCGGGATCCTTCATGATTCACATGATTCATTTCATCCACGCGGAGTGACTATCTATTCATTATAACAACCTTCAGCTCGGCTACGGTCATTTTACTTCCACCTGGTGACAACCGTGCCTAGATTAGGACCGGATCTCCACTCATCAATCAGCTTTCGCTCTGATCGCCCTGTGATCTGATCTGACGGAAACTGATTCTGTCCAGTGTGTCTGGATTTTTTCTTTATTCATTTCTTATTTTTTTCTACCCCCCTTTAACCTTTCCCTTCTTCCCCTTTGACGCATACTCGACGTTGACTCGATGGCTGTGACGTGGGTGTAACCGTCGTGTTTACTTTACATCCGTCTCCCTCTCCTCCACCCTCCATCGTTCTCTTGCTTTACTTAATTTCCGGACGGGGGTTGTGGTGTGCTATTGAAAGGAGATTGATTTTACCATTAATTTGTTAATAATTCTGGTCACTTTCTTCGGCTTCGTTCACGATACCCCTGCCTTTTGTTGTGTTCTCAGTTCCTTTTTTTTTCTTGATTATTCTTGGCTGTGTTATATTACGACCATCTGTATAGCTTTCCTTGTCACAAAAATCCGCCATGACTTCCAGGTAAGTTTCCTGCCATTCCGCTTCCGTCTGGTACCGGCCACTAACCCATTTCGTTCTAGACTGGACCGTCTTGTCACGTGAGTAATCGACAGCTTTCCCCATCCCTGCACGCTTACCTAAGGAAGGGACGAGCTGACCAATCACCACCTGCAGGTTACTTGAGACAGGCAGCACGCCGCTCATCCGCAATACTGCGGCTCAACAGCTGGCCGACGTGCAGAAGCAGCATCCGGATGAACTCTTCAACCTTCTCGGTCGCATTCTGCCCTATCTGCGTTCTAAGTCTTGGGACACTAGAACAGCCGCTGCTAAGGCAATCGGCTTGATCGTCACTAATGCAGACACCTTCGACCCTAATGAGGAAGATGGCGATCACATCAAACAGGCCGACGATGAAGATGGCGGCGTCGAGATCAAGTCGGAAGGCGAATCTGCCGCCACTGCCAGTGATCTCCTTAGGCTTGAAACCATGAATATCGCCGCCATCCTGAAATACGGCAAGCGGCTGTTGGGAAGCGCAGGCAAGGAGTACGAATACTCATTGGCCGGCATGGATCCAGCCGCTCGACTCCAGCACCAGAAGAAAACCTTGCACGCTCGTCTGGGTCTCGCAGGAGAGTACATCGAGGAGGATCTGATTGATGACGGCGATCTGGTCCTGAAGACACCGGGAATCAAGGAGGAAGTTCCCCAACATAGGGATACTATCCACCATCTATCCTCTACCACCCCTCTTGCATCGCCTATGGAACCCGCTAACGGCGAGGAGGCCGGTCTCAGTAAGCGACAATTGAACCAACTGAAGCGGAAGAACAAACAGAGCGCAAAGATGGGCGCGAACAAGGTCCGAGTCGTGGATCTGTCGACGCGCAGACCGTCGGATAACGTCACCACTCCTTCAGCTGTTACTCCTCACCCGATTAAAGCGGAGAACGGTGAGGAGCGCAATGGCGACGTAAAGCAGGATTACTTCAACCTTGAGCGGTCGACTGGTGGCGACGACGATCAGAAGATCGTTTCGGAGTTCAAAGGATCGGTTGTCCCAGAAAAATCCTACATCCAACCAGAAATCACGGATGAGGGTCCCAGCAACTCATGGCCATATGATCCCATGTGCGAGTTCCTCATGGTAGATATTTTCGATCCTAACTGGGAGGTGCGCCACGGAGCCGCAATGGCACTTCGGGAGGTTATCCGCGTTCAAGGTGCTGGCGCAGGTCGTGTACGAGGTAAGAGTAGGGCCGAGAACAATGTCCTCAACCGGCAGTATCTGGACGACCTAGCCTGCCGACTACTTTGTGTTCTCATGCTTGACCGGTTTGGTGACTACATCTCCGACAATGTTGTCGCGCCCATCAGAGAGACTGTGGGTCAAACACTTGGTGCACTCTTGTCCCAGCTCCCGTCGCGTTCTGTGGTGTCAGTCTACAAGTGTCTGTACCGCATCATCATGCAGAAAGACTTGGACCTGGACCGGCCCATTTGGGAGGTCTGCCACGGTGGTATGATCGGTCTCCGGTACTTGGTTGCGGTCCGCAAAGATATCCTGGTGAAGGATCGTGCACTTATGGACGGCGTGTTAGAGGCTGTGATGAAGGGGCTGGGAGACTTTGACGACGATGTGCGGGCTGTTAGTGCTGCAACCCTGGTTCCAATGGCTGAGGAATTTGTGGCTTCCCGACAAAGCACATTGGGTAATTTGATGACCATTGTTTGGGACTGTTTGTCGAACCTGCAAGATGACCTGAGCGCCAGTACGGGCTCGGTCATGGATCTTCTGGCCAAGCTCTGCACATTCCGCGAAGTTCTGGATGCGATGAAGGCCAATGCGTCCGTGGATTTCGAGTCCTCGTTCGGAAACCTGGTCCCTCGCCTCTACCCTTTCCTGCGACACACAATCACCAGCGTCCGTTCAGCAGTTCTCCGGGCTCTCATTACCTTCTTGCAGCTTGAGGGCGAGGGCACAAATGACTGGGTGAATGGCAAGGCTTTGCGTCTGATTTTCCAGAACCTGTTAGTCGAGCGCAACGAGGGTGTGCTCAAGCTTTCTCTTCAGGTGTGGTCGGAGCTGCTTAGAGCGCTGGAGTCGCGTGGCCTGTTCCAGACCGAAGCTGACCTTCTGAGCCACATCCAACCTTTGATTACTCTGACAATGTCTCCCTTCGGCGTTCCTCGGTACCCCATTCCCATGAATGCTTCCCTCTTCATCAAGCCCTCGGGCGTTCCATTCCCAATGAGCGCTGCTGCACCAGCCAAGTCTTCCCCAAGTGCAGTCAGTGCACAGTCTGATGTGACCAAGAAGCGTGGACGCAAGGTGGAAAAGAAGGAAGTCCCGACCATGTCAGCTCATAACGTGGACGGCCACATGCTCCAGGGCGATATTGACTTGGTTGGCGCCGATACCATGTTGCGGTCCAAGATATATGCCGCCAAGGCGCTGGGCCAGCTTCTTTCTGTCTGGGATAAGAGCGCACTCCCGAGTCTGTGGCAGTCTATTGTGGAGGGCTTGAAGCACTCCGCATCCACGTCTCAGCTCTCGTCAGCGATGATCATCGAGGAATATGCGAGAGTGGCCGGCCCAAGCAGCAAGTACTCCTCGACTCTCTGCGAGCATTTGCGTCCGATCATCGAAGGCGACCGACCGCTGTGGTACGGCGATATCGCATGCTATCTTCATGTTGCCCGCGCCCAGTGTCACTCGCTGCTCAATGCCTTCCGCGACCATGCCCATGTTCCTAGCTCAAGACTCCCGACTCTTGCTGTCGTTGTTCAAGGAGACGCCGAGGCCGGCCCAAGTGCGTTCTCATTGGCAGATGCTGAGAAGGTCATCGGACCGGATTTCGAGCGGTTGAAGAAAGGACTGGCACCCGCTCAGCGCATTACTGCTCTGCAGGTCCTGAATGACACGCGGGCAACCGCAGAGAACTCTGTCGAAGAAGCAAAGAATGTTCGGGAACAGAGGGATCTTCGGGTTCTGGCAGCTGCGGCTGGTGCGCTGGTGGCTCTGCATGACATTCCAAAGAAGCCGGGCCATATTATCAAGGGCATGATGGATAGCATCAAGAAGGAAGAAAATGCTGAACTTCAACAGCGTTCTGCTACGGCGATCTCAACCTTGGTGGAGTACTACACCACGGCCACTAAACGCGGACCGGTCGACAAAGTCATTGGAAACTTGGTCAAATACTGCTGTGTGGACTCGTCTGAGACCCCCGAATTCCACCACAACGCCTCGCTGGAGAAGTCCATTCTTTCCCTGCGGAAGGAGGAGGATCGACGGGATCATCCCGACGCAGCCAAGTTTGAACGAGAGGCCAAGGCGGCGCGAATCATGCGTCGGGGTGCTAAGGACGCTCTCGAGCAACTGGCAGTCAAATTTGGTCCTGATCTCTTGGAGAAAGTGCCCAACCTTGCCACGCTGGTCGAGCGGCCACTCAAGGACACGCTTACTGGAAGTCTTCCGGAGGACATTCTTGACCCGGACAATGAGTTGGGTCAGGAAGTCGTTGATGGTTTGTCGACATTGCGCGCCCTGCTACCCAAATTCGATCGTGGTCTCCACACCTGGGTAGTCAGTCTCATGCCTCTTATTATCAAGGCTCTGCAGTGTCGTCTGTCGGTTATTCGATATGCGGCCGCCAAGTGCTTCGCGACTATCTGCAGCGTCATCTCGGTAGAGGGAATGACGATGCTGGTAGAGAAGGTGCTGCCAACCATCAACGATCCCTTGGACGTTCACCACCGTCAAGGAGCTGTCGAGTGTATTTACCATCTGATCCATGTGATGGAGGATCGTATCCTTCCATACGTCATTTTCCTTGTCGTACCCGTGCTTGGACGAATGAGCGATTCTGACAACGACGTGAGACTGCTGGCGACGACGTCGTTCGCAACGCTGGTCAAACTCGTTCCCTTGGAAGCTGGCATTCCCGACCCTCCCGGTCTCTCCGAGGAACTGCTCAAGGGTCGTGATCGCGAGAGGAAGTTCATGGCTCAGATGTTGGATTCCAAGAAGGTGGAAGAGTTCTCATTGCCAGTTGCGATCAAAGCGGAGCTCAGACCTTATCAGCAGGAAGGTGTCAATTGGCTTGCTTTTCTTAACCGCTACAATCTCCATGGTATTCTTTGTGACGATATGGGTCTTGGTAAAACCCTGCAAACGATCTGCATTGTCGCAAGTGATCATCATCTGCGAGCCGAAGAGTTCGCCAAGACCCAAGCGCCAGAGGTCCGGAAGCTTCCGTCTTTGATCGTGTGCCCGCCCTCTCTTTCCGGCCATTGGCAGCAAGAGGTCAAGCAGTACGCTCCGTTCCTGAATTGTATTGCTTATGTGGGGCCTCCAGCAGAGCGCGCCAGACTGCAAGATAGCCTGAGCGAGGCGGATATCGTCGTAACATCGTACGATATCTGTCGCAATGACAACGACGTTCTGCGTCCGATCAGCTGGAATTACTGCGTGCTAGACGAGGGTCATTTGATCAAGAACCCCAAGGCCAAGGTGACGATCGCGGTCAAGCGCCTCCAGAGCAACCATCGGTTGATTCTCTCTGGTACACCCATTCAGAATAACGTACTGGAGCTGTGGTCGTTGTTCGACTTCTTGATGCCCGGGTTCTTGGGTACAGAGAAGGTCTTCTTAGACCGATTCGCCAAGCCCATTGCGGCCAGTCGATTCAGCAAGTCATCTTCCAAAGAACAGGAAGCCGGCGCACTAGCGATTGAGGCGCTGCACAAGCAGGTGCTGCCGTTCCTGCTCCGTCGTCTGAAAGAGGAGGTCCTGAACGACTTGCCGCCGAAGATCATCCAGAACTACTACTGTGATCCCAGTGAGCTGCAGAAGAAACTCTTTGAGGACTTCTCCAAGAAGGAGCAGAAAGAGCTGGCCGACAAGCTGGGAAGCTCCGAGAAATCGGACAAGGAGCATATCTTCCAAGCACTGCAGTACATGCGTCGTCTCTGCAACTCTCCCGCGCTGGTGGTGAAGGAAGGCCACAAGCAGTACAACGAAGTCCAGCAGTATCTGACCACCAAGCACTCCAATATCCGGGACGTGTCCCACGCGCCGAAGCTCAGCGCTCTGCGCGACCTGCTTCTCGACTGCGGAATCGGCATTGATCCCCCGACGGAAGGCGACCTGGGCACGGGAACCAGCTACGTGAGCCCGCACCGAGCCCTGATCTTTTGCCAGATGAAGGAGATGCTTGATATCGTCCAGAGTGAGGTCCTGCGGAAGCTTCTTCCTTCAGTCCAATATCTTCGATTGGATGGTGGAGTCGAGGCAACCAAGCGTCAAGACATCGTTAACCGCTTTAACTCCGACCCGAGCTATGACGTTCTGCTTCTGACCACCAGTGTTGGTGGTCTGGGTCTGAACCTGACGGGAGCCGACACGGTGATCTTCGTGGAACACGACTGGAACCCGCAGAAGGATATCCAGGCCATGGATCGTGCCCATCGTATCGGACAGAAGAAGGTCGTCAATGTGTACCGTTTGATCACGCGAGGTACTCTGGAGGAGAAGATCTTGAAGTGAGTTTTTTTTGTCCTCAAAACCGCATCTTTGCATAACGTATTAACCACGGGAAAACCTCTAGTCTGCAACGATTCAAGATCGACGTCGCCTCGACGGTAGTCAACCAACAGAACGCCGGCCTGAACACAATGGACACGGATCAACTGCTAGATCTGTTCAACCTCGGCGAAACCGCCGACAACGCCGAGAAACCCAGCGAGCCCACCGGCAACGAGGTGGACATGGTGGACATCGACGGCGAGGTCAAAGAAAAGGGCAAGAAGGGCTGGCTGGACGATTTGGGCGAACTCTGGGACGACCGCCAGTACCAGGAAGAATACAACCTCGACTCCTTCCTAGCCACCATGAAGGGGTGATCATTGGTGCCTGGCTCCCTCACAAACAGGAGGGAAAACCAAAAAAAAAAACAAGAAACAAAATTCACCTACATACAAAACCCATTCACACCTACTCACCAACCTACTACCCACCCACCCATCCACCCACCTATCACACCATCCTACCATTTTATTGATTGACGACCGCCTCGGAAGGCCACGAGACGAAACCTGATTTAAAACTCTTCACATAACCTTATTTGTCCCCCAAATTCCAATCCCCATGAATAGAAATCTTCGCAGAGGCTCTTCCTTAATGTTTCTGCAGGTTTACAGGGCAATTTCTCTCTGCTTTCTGTGGCAGATGGCAGAAAGGGAAAAGGAGTGTATGCTAGCTAGTTTTTATCCTTTTCTATCTTCTTTTTTGCCACTCTTAAACCTTTTTTTTCCCCTCAGAATCTCTTCTAGTTAATGTATCATAACCTGGCGATCGAACACTCATGACATTTATGCTCTGCTCCTGCTCTGCTCCTGCTCTGCTCCTGCTCTGCTCCTGCTCCTGCTCCAACATAGGCTCACTGCCATATTTTTCGGAAGAGAGAAAGTAAGGGAAGAGGTATTTTGAGTGTGTTTTGAGTGTGTTTCTCATGCAGTAGGCGAGTAGGCAAGTAAGAAGGGGAAACTACAAGTGCTCGCACACTGGGAGTCGAGCTACAGTATGGGGTAGGGATGGTTGCTGGCATGGTATCATACATGTATCACATTCTACCACGGAAAGTTATACTGTACGCGTATCGTCATTCGAGTATGAGTATCAGTAGTAACACCAATAGGATTACAGCATCAGCATCAGCATCAGCATCAACCTCACTATCAGCACCAGCATCAGCATAACCCCCAACATGAACATTACCCCCCCCCCAACCTACCCTCACCAAGCCTCCCAAACAACAACACAGACAAATCCTTCCATAAAAGCTAAACCCGAGTCCCACAGGGACATACACACACTAAACAAGAAGCAGAGCATACAATCGGATGCAAAAATAAAGCAAGGTAAAGGTAAGGTCAGGCCAAAGCCGAAGCCATGACCTACCAGAAAAAGCTAATCAGGAGCTATCAGGCTTGGAAGACATGGAAACAAACGTTCAAAGGAAAAATCAAATCAAATCTCGAATTCCTTATACCCTTCCACCAACCCATCCGAGAACTTGGTGGCAGCCACCCAGACCGGCGCATACTGTTTCACCTCGTCGAGGGCGGGGATGGCTCCGATGCGATTGTGGTCGCTCCAGAGACAGACGACCCGTCCTTTCAACTTGGCCTTCTCCTCATCGACGTCGCCAGTTGCAGCTGAAGAAGACAGGGAGTCGACGAGGACGTACTCTTCGCCGGACGCGGCATCGGTCACGACCTCCGTGGTGGGCGGCGCGAGGGACGGCGGGGGCACGGTCCACTCCACGTCCACGGTCCAGGTATTCTCCCACTCGCGGCTCCACAGGCGGATCTCCTGCGTGCCCAGCGGGGACGTGTGCGGGAAGCGGGGGTCGTACGCGCTGCCGGCCACGCTGAAGGAGGAGATGGGGGTGTCGAAGGTGATCCTGCAGGCGCGAGTGTTCAGGCCGGAAAGTTGGATCTGAGCGGTTTGGAGGTTGTCGCCCTGCTCCGCGGAATGCGAGGAGAACTCCGTGGCGGACACGTTGAAGGTCAGCCAGGATTTGTAGTCCTCGGGCGCCGAGGGCACAACATCTGGCATGGGACCGGGCCAGGAGCACTTCGTGCGTGCAGCGAGCGCACCACAGACCAGCTCCTGGCCGTGGACGCTTGGGAGCGCGTGAGCCACCTGGGCGACGAAGGGCGAGATCCCGATCAGCGACACGTTGGTTGCGGCCGTGTCGAGGTTGATCTCCTGGTGGAAGAAGATTTTCAGGCGGTTGGACGCCGAGAACGGGAACGCGACCAGGTTGTAGATCAGGCACCCCAAGAAAATCGCCAGCAAGAACAGAGGGATATGATATGTGTGGCGATGGATGTAAGGGAGGAGCGGGGTGAGAAGGAAGGTAGTCAGGGCTGCGATGGCGATGTAGATGAACAGAGAGGAACTGCCGTCCTGGCCGGTTTGATGCAATGCGCTGGTTAGCAGCAACGCCAGGGGCCCGACCATGATGAGCACAATCGGTGCCGTCAGCAGGAATTGCAGCACCCAGGTCCATTTCGGCAGGTGTGCGCTCCAGCGTTGCTCGTGGCCGTAGACGTGCGGGTCACTGGGTTCGTCGTGGCCCTCATGCTCCCCCGTGACGCGCACGTAGTTGGCAAAGGTCGTACGCTGGCCGCCCCCCAGCAGAGACGTCGACTCGGTGGGTTGCTCGTCGTCGGAATCGACGTGCTCGTCTCCGTCGTGCTCCGAGGTGTGTTCCTCGCCCGAGGCTGTGCCCAGTCGACTGCCGCCATAACTGCTGGGACGGCGCGACGACGCCGGCACCGGCGCATACTGACTGGCGTACTCTGACTTCCGAGGCAGGGCGAACAGCTCCATATAGGAGATCCAGGTGGCCAGGAACGTGCCACAGAAGGAGAAGAAGACCCAATACCCGCCAGCCAGACCCCACTGGTTCTCGTAGACCGTCGCAATCACCAACATCACCCAGGCGAGCACAAACATCCATGTCAAGGTATAGATGCGGTGGAAGGCCGAGGGACGCGCAAAGTCGGCGACGCGCGACACGAACCAGGCCAGAAACGTCCAGGCCGACAGCATCATGCCCCACACCGCATACTCGCTGCTGTGGATGATCAACGGATTGACTTTGGTCACCAGGTACGCCAACCCAACCGTGACGGCCGTCGGGATCACAAACAGAAAGGGAAACCGGAAGAACCCGCGCAGTCCCTGCAGCGACACGGCCTCCCCATCGTCGAGCGACGACTTGACCGTGGACCGGAACAGGTACATCTTGTCGGCCCTGCTCAGGGCAACGCTCGTGACCAACAAGCCCAGGGGCGCGACAATGAGCATCGTCACCGACAGCGCAAACAAGGTATGCAGCTGGAACACCACGAAGGTCGCTCCGAAGAGATCGAACCACACTCCGCGCGATCCTCTCTTCCCACCATCGCTACTATCATCACTGACCAGCCCCTCGGTCGTCTTCACCGCCGCCTCCAGCATGTGCCACAGGCTCTCCACAGTCGTGTGCCTCGAATCATCCTGGTCGGTATGATATCTGGCCCTAGGCTCCATAAACGCGACATCCAAGCCCCTCATGCCCAGATCCCCTTCGAACACGACATAGTCCGTCTGGGAACTGATGAGGCCGACCTCAAACCCATTGGCCGCCAACACGGACCCGAACGGGTGTTTCGCGCGCCTATAGTTCCTCGTCACTTCGGTGTCACTGCCTCGGAACAGGATCGCCCGGCCACCGGCGCCGGCCCCCTCCAGGTTCAGAAAGGTCTGAGTGAACTTGGACAGCGGGTGCTGGCTGAACACGCGCGCTCCGTTGAGGAAATCCTCCTCGCCGTTGTTGAAGAGCACCACCAAGCCGCGACGCGGGGCATGGCCCGGGGTGGTGAAGTACTTGATCAACTGAAGACAGGTGACGACGCCGACCCCGTCATCCGTCGCGCCATAGCCGGTGGAGACGCTGTCATAGTGGGCGTTCACCAGCACACCTCCGCTTCCTCCCTCCGACCCCAGAACCAGGTCAACATCATCATCATCCTCCCCACGGATGTAGACTAGGAGGTTGGTGCCTTCAAAGTAGACCGCGGTGTTGGACGACTTGAGGGTATTACCGACGAAGGAGAGGTTGGACTGGTTGTCGTCGAAGATGTAGACGGTGGGTCGAGTTTCGTCGTCGGCATTGTAGATCGTAGGAGGCTCATGGAAGCCCTGGTACCGGTAATCCTTGTGGTCAGACTGCCCGGGTGTATCCGCGTTGTTGTCGTGGACAATCTCCTTCACTCGGCGGAGAAGCCAATCTCGGACCTCGTCGTTCCGGCGCGAATTATACGGATGGTACCCGTTGGTCAGGACCTGCAGATCGGCCCAAGCTTCGTGGAGATCGAGACCGTTGGGGGTGGAGGATGCACTGGGTGCCGAGGGGAGCACGTGGTGGACGACAAGGAGGGGGATCACAAAGGCGAGGTAGACGGCGGTCGTAATGAGAGTCACGGGCCACCGCGTGAAGGCCAGTGGATTGCCGCGCGGGGTAGCCATCTCTCTCTCTCTCTCTCTCTCCCCCGTCTCGCTCTTTTGCCTTTCTGCGCTATATTTGTACTAGCTGAGAGGAGTGTCCGTAGTCGCTCTCAGCTGCTGCAGAAGCCTTCTTTTGGCTGGGCTGAGCTGCAGCGGGGACTGGACTGGAACTGAGCTGGGCTGAGCTACAGTGAAGTGGAAGGGAGAGAATGCGGAGAAGGAACGGATCGGAAATCGAATGATGGTTGATCGGCCCATGCGAAACCCGTCATTATGTCACCGCCAGCCCACTCAGTCACTTTCAGTCACTTTCAGTCAACTTATCTACTATGTGTACTCCGTACTCCGTACAGTATGTGTATACAGTACAATAGTAGTATAAAGTTATACTTGATATCTACTCCAATTGCCTATGTTTTTATCTCATGAACCTCAATTGCCAATCCACTCTCAGTGTAATTGCATTCCCGCAACAACTAAACTGCTGCTGCTGCTCTATAAGTTACTCAATTCTAATACGGTAACGGTAGGCAGACCAACCCTCCCTCTGTCCTCTCGATGATCGATCACTGCTCATATCGATAATTCCTTAGGAAGAAACTGATTTTTGTTGTTCATCTCACCCTGCATTTCCCCCCAAAGCGATGTATAAGGCAGGCAGAGCGCAGAAGGCAGAGAAAGTTGAAGCCCCCCCCCCCCCCCCCACAAAGACGAACGCAACCGCCAGTCAGTCTCAGCCCGAAGAAAACACATCCCAACAACCAGCTCCCAGATAAACCGCTACCGACTATGCAAATTCATAACGGAAATCCCTGTGTGCACACAAACAGAAATTGGAACCCCTCGCTGCTTGGCCCAAAAAAATGGAAAATCGGAAGAACAATAGAGAAATGAAAACGACACCATGTTTGTAAAACCATACACAAAAAAATGATAGATGTTAAGATCCGATGCACAAGACACGCTCAAAGATACGGAGAGGAAAAAGGGTATGGGTATCAACTGGGTGTATGTCCAATGTCAATGTAATCATCGTCGTTAATCGCCGTGGCCGCCGTCGCGCGCATCAGGCCAGTCACCTGGCCCTCATCCTCGTCCAGTTCTTCGTCGTCATCATACATGGTTGCTTCCGTCATGTCCTGCGGCGGTGGAGGGGGAATCATATGGTTCAGTTGGTTACGCAAGTGGTTCACGCCATCGCCGCTGAATACACAGAACACGTCGCGCTGTTGGGGCGTGAACTCGGGAGGCGCCTCACGGCAGAACTCGGTCAATTCTTTTCGCGCATAGAACTCCTGGACCCCCGTCAGACTGAGGTGTGTCAGACGAGGACAGCTGTTGACGAGTGCATGGATTCCCTGCGGCCAGTTAGCATGATCCCAGACAAAGACAAAAGAAAAGCCATCGTTCGACCACATACTCTGAGCGTGAGGAAAGTGCAGTAACTGAGATGCACCCGCTCTAGACTACTGATTCCTGCGGAGTGGTGGGAAGCCTTGGGACCCGCCAAGGCTAGAATGCTGTTGTCCGTGATGTTGGCACACTTGACCAAGCCGATACGCCGGAGTTTGGGTAACGTAGCCAGCTGCTGCACACTTGCGTCCGTGAGACGGGTACAGCACGCCAGGTCGATATACCGGATACGGTTGCAGGACTTGACCAACTGCATAACGGCTGCATCGGAGATGTTGGAGCAGTGTCCCAAGTGGACGTAGTGCAGATTCTTGCCGAGCTTGCAAATGGCCCAAACTGCGCGATCCGTGATAAGCCGACACTTTGCGAGCACTAGGTTCCGTAAGCGCGGCGCCGATGCCACAATACGCTCAACGGCAGCGTCTCTGACATTCTCGCAGGATGTCAAGTCCAGAATGCGCAAGCTGTCCAAAGTAATATGTGGTGCCAGCTCCAGGAACGCCATATCGTCGAGTTCGGTGCAGTGGGCCAGTCGTAGCTCGCGGAGATTATTCAGTGTCGCCATCAAGGCAGTTATCGACTTGTTGGTGACGAGCTTGCAGTCATGAAGGTCAATCTCCAGGATGGCCGGGCAGCTCTGAGCGAACGACAGAATGGATTTGTCCGTGACTTGCGCGACTCCGTTCAATTTTAACTGTCACATATTAGCAACCATGATGTAGAATCCGAGTAGCCATGGCCACCTACCCGTTTGATCTGTCGGCAATTACGAGACACGACAAGCAAGGAGTCGTCCGTCACCTTGGTGCAGTTCGTGATATTGAGCCCCTGGAGCCGGGGACAGTTTCTAGCCACCGTGTACAGAGTGTGGTCGGTGAGATGCCCCAAGTCCGACACATCTAACGCTTGTAGATGGCGATTCCCTTCCACCAGGTCTGACACGCCGGTGTCCGACAGTTTGGAGCAGTTGGTCAGCGTCAATCGCTCGATCCGGTTGCACTGAGCAAAGGTCATGACCGTTCCATCGCTGACGTCGCCCGAGAGAGCGGACAGGTTCAGTCTCTTGATTAAGTCCGAGTAAGGAAAGAAGCTGTTTGGCTTGCCCACAGTGGTGCTGATGCTCTTCATGTTGTCCCAGCTGTTGCACGATGGCCGGTGCCACAAGATCGCCACGCAGTTTGCCGCCCATCCTCTGCAGACCAGCATACAGCTCATCATATCGGCTGGCGAACTCAGTTTGGCGAAGATGGCGATTAAGATCTCCGGAGGCAACCGTCCGATGGGCGGCAGGGCCCGATCTGAGTCGTAATATGCATGAGAATCCCGGCCATTTACACCGCCCACGGAGGATTCTGAATCATTGGCCTGGGCTGTGAAGAAGTCGGTGTCATCATCGGCGGTGCGATCGGGGGAGGTCGAGGAGGAGGATTCGGAGGGAGCTTCGCTCGAGAACCGAGCGGGTTGCCTTGAGCGGGGCATCAGGACCAACGTCGGAAAGTGGTGGCAAGCGTGCTTGTTGGGAGAGGGAGGTGGAGGACTGGTCGCTGTCCTATTTCGGCCAGGATACAACGTGTTGTGCGTTGGGTAGAGAAACTATTCATATAAAATGTGGCTGTCACCTGTTGTAGAGGCGAAGCCGGAAGTGTGATCAGAGATTCGAGACCGATCTGGAGATTTGAGGTTTCGCCCTAGGAAAGCGGAAGGGTCAAGGGGGCCAGAAGAAGAGGCGAGTTGAGATCAGGTTGGTCGGGGTTGAGAGGGAGAACACGCGTCGAAAGAGCCTGCGATAGGAGATGCCGACGAAGGCAAAGCAAGGCAAGGCAAGGGAAAGGAGGGGAAAGGGAGAGGAGGAGGAGGAGGAGGAGGAGGAGAGAGAGGACGGTGTCGGGCGGCGGAGGAGGCGAGGGAGAAGGAGGAATCCCGGTCGGAGGACCGAAAGGGTGAGACCCGGGGGGCGGGATTGAGAGCGTCCAGAAGATCTGTAAGTCCGATCAGGGGAAAATGTAAGTATCGTATAGTCAGATAGAGCCAAAAGGTGGTAGTTACAAGTAATCAACGTAGCGACAGTGGGCTGTCGGGGGGGGTGCGAAGAGGAGGAGGAGGAATGTTGATGATGATGTTTGGATGTTGATGATGAGGGGAGGGAGGGGGGGTTGGTTGGGACGGAGAAGGACTGACGAAAGAAGAAGAAGGCGGTTGCAAAGGCGGGAGAGGAGAAAGAAAAGAAACTGGAAGAGGATGATTAAGGTAGACAGAGGTAAATATTCACCTACTTAAAGTTAGGTAGGGAGAGAACAAACAGCTTTGTACTGTACCTTATTCACTCATCTCAGCCTAATCAACAGTAACTTATATTTTTAATCCTTGAAAAAATACTATAAAAAATATTTTTTACAAACCCGAATAACGCTTGATTGCGACTTAAGGTGAGAAAGGAGGGGAAAGTTGATTGATTAGTTTAGTTAATATTTAGTAACTTAACTGAACTGCCAGGGAAGCCCGCTCGCTGCCGAACGACATCATCCATGTTGACTTATGCTATTCTTGGGTGGTCGACCCGTGCGCGGCGCCCACTTACTTATCCCTCAATTCACCCAAGCATCGAAGCATCAAAGGTATCATTCATGATTATTATTAGCATTCCTGGACAAACACTACCAGATTCGCTAAATAAGCATGGCTGCCTACCAGGGGAATTGCTAGAATTATTGGGGCTGAGCTCTGATTATCTTCAGTTTCATCCAAAGCTTCCCCCCTCCCCCCTCCCCCCTCCCCCTCATGCTCGTTGCCTTCACCATCCCCGGTGGTTCGCATCTAAGACAAATAGGATCCACCTCGGATTGCTCCCTCCTTTGGTTCATGTTTAGAATGGGTTTGTGAAGCTCATCCGCCATTACCCCTTTTCACCGCCCGACTATGTGATTCGTTAAAGAGGCGAGAATCAAAGAGAATACAAGTGTACAGCCTTATCGTCTCCTGCGACACTCTATCTAATCTATATAAAGTCACAACCCGTTCAACCAGAACAAGACCATAAAGTGATACAATCTCTCCCGAGAACCAACCCCACCATCTCTTTCACGTCCGAGACGCCCCCTTAGCCCAGTCGCGCAGTACATTTTTTCTGATTTTCCCCGTACTGGTTTTGGGCAGCTCCGCCACCACCTCCACCTCGCGAGGGACCATAAACTTACTGATGCCGCTAGCATTCCGCGCCCACTCAATGACCGCCTTGCCATCGAGTTCCCTACCTTCCTTGACCGTAATGAAGGCCTTGGGACGTTCGCCCCAGTGCGCATCTGGAACCGACACGACCCCGGCCTCCAGAATGTCGGGGTGGGTCACCAGCTGCGCCTCTAAGGCAACTGAGGAGATATTCTCACCCCCTAAAGCCGTACGTCAGCACAACATTCCGGAGAGGGAACAGGGGTGCAACAATGAGAACCAAACCGAAGCCCAGAAATCTAACTTACCGCTGATGATGATGTCCTTAGCTCGATCCAGAATCTGGATGGCCCCATCGGGATGCCAGACAGCCAGGTCGCCGGAATGGAGCACACCACCAAGGAACAGCTTCCGTGTCGCCTCCGGGTCCTTGTAGTAGCCTCGGGAACATATGTTCCCGGCAAACACGATCTCCCCGATCTCCTTGCCGTCCCGGCGGACGTCTACAACCGTGCCCTCGGGGACATCCGTCTTGATCACCCTGGCCGGCAGACTGGTCAGGAATCCATGGCCCTGTCTCGCCATCTTCTCGTACCGCTCGGTCGGGGCGAGGTTGTCCCACGCTGGCATATGGTACCCCTTGGTGATGGGGCCGTACGTCTCCGTCATCCCGTAGGTATGCACAGGATGCAGGTTAAAACCGGTCATCTGCTCGAACAGATGTCCCGTCGGAGGACTAGCCGCCACCGTCACGCGCACCGACTGCGGCAGACGTTCAGCTTGCGGTGAGTTGCAAAGCAAAGTATTCACCGTCGGCGCCGCATTAAAATGCGTGATGCGTTCTTGCTTCAGCAACCTCCAGATCTGCGGATAATCGATCTTACGCAGACAGTAATGCGTACCCCGGACAGCCGTCACGGCCCACGGAAAGGTCCACCCTGCGCCACAGCATCAGTCCCATCAGGTCCTTGGCCATTTTTGACCAGAAGAAAACACTCACCAACCGCATGAAACATCGGCAAAGTCCACAGATACCTGCACCGACCCTCCTGCACATTCAGCCCAGATTCGACCAGATTCGCCAACGACGCCAGGTAGCACCCCCGATGGGTGAGCTCCACCCCTTTCGGCTTGGCCGTAGTTCCACTCGTATAAGCCAACGCGAGAACATCCTCCTCAGCAGCCGCCTGAGCTTCCAACCCATCCCACCCTAGAGCTCCAGTCTCGGCATCAAACCTCAACCCCTCCAAGACCGCATCATCAAACGGCCCAGACAACTGCCCCTCCGTCTCATCGGTATCGGTATCCACAATCACCCGCACATCAGGTTTCGCCGCCCGATAGCGCTGTAAGAGGGGCAGAAACTCCTGGTCCACAATAATCACCTCCACCTCTGAATGTGTAAAGATATAGGCGATATCTTCTTCCTTGAGACGGTAATTCACCGCTATAGGAGAAAGTTCAAGTCAGCACCAACCCCTTCCAAGCAGTGTAGAGCAAATTCCCCCCAGCAATAGACAGCCCCTCCACCCACTACCCTAAGCCAGACGAACTACATATATAGCAGAAGAACAAAGAAAAACAAAACATACCAACCTGCACCGCCCCAGCAGCGGCAATGCCAAAGATAGCCTCCAAGAAAGCCGGGGTATTGGGGCAGAGAATCCCCACGCGCTTGAACGCATGGCTCTTCAGGAAATAGGCCAGGCCGCGAGCGCGGTCGGCGAATTCGATATAGCTTCGTCGGAGGATTTGATTATTGGTGGTGATGTGGTAGATTGCTTCGGCCTGTTTCAAAGTGTGATAAATATGATGAGTGCCAAGTCAAGGGCAGTGATTGGAAGGGAGGGTTCATGTCGGCCAGACTATTGAGGGACTAAAGTCTCGAGACAAAAAACAGTACTTACATGTGGTTCGATGGCAGCAGCTCGAGGAAGAAAGTATGTTGGAGATAGGGTGTGGAAGTTGACTGGTCGATTCGTAGAGGTTGAGGTACTGGTGGTGGTGGTGTTGGTGGTGGGAAGCAAATGGGCGAGCAGGCCCGATAACCGGCCCTTTGCGGAGGACATGGCTTGTGATGATGTTCTTTGATGTGACTGGCGAGGAACGAATCCGTGTATGCTTCCAATGTCCTCCCTGGAGAGAATCCAATTGGACGGGCACTGGTCAGGATGAGGAGCGAGGGCGTGTGTGATTCAGAATGAGGAAACGAGACAACGAGGAAGAGAAGGAGGGGGGGAGAAGAGGGAAATTCCGAGGTAGCTCCAGAAGAGGAGAAGCGAAGTAGAAGAGGAGTAAATGCGGGGATGATCATCGTTCGGGGCGTCGGGGCCGCGGCGGAGCCCAAAAAGCGGATCCTTCCCTTTCAACTTGGAACTTTCAAACAACCCCGTTCTACTCCGTACCTACTCTCACATTGTTCAATGCTTGATTCGTCCACAGATGAAGAAAGAACCTACCAATGAAGCTGGTATCTTCAATGAGTTTCGAAGTTGCTGACGACAACAACCGAATCAATAAAGTTCAGCAAGTGACACCGACCAATACCCAGGGGTACACACAGTACACATTTCCCCTCACTGATGATTGACCACTGGAAAACTCTTGTTCCTTAGCGGCCTCCACCTTGGGCCCAATCCATAATCAACACAATACATCATGAGTACTACTCATACAACCAAGCAATCAACAAACTCAATCGAGATCCATGCCCGTTCGTCGGACTGAGTACGTATCGACGTGGTGGACATAACATACTCCAATAAGTCGGCGAGTTACAGGTTTACCATGTTGTTACAGCACAGTACTGTCCAGTACAAATACTTCATCAGCCATCATGGATCTATTCTACATGGAACTACCAGGCACCAACAAACATATCATCAAACAAGATCCCGCTCCGAGCCAAGGAAGTACGGTGGGCTACTAAGCACCAGCAGGAAAAAGAGGAACAGTCCAGAACTGTCTCCGCACCGCAGGGGACGCTCTACTCGCTGGTGGTCAGTGCTTACCGACAGACAGGATCCAGAACCGGATCAAAGGATTCACAGACAGATCGGATGGAGCATCGACTGTTTCCCACCATCGATCATCTTCACTATGAAAATGGATGGTAGATGATGGTCCATGAGTCAACCATGCAGCGACAATCACGCCAAGCGGCAAGTGCCTTGCTCCGATTGCATGAAGGCGATCCCGGCACATGCAATACTCTTTCTCCCATCACATCACTAAATTACCCTGGGATGGCGGTGTTGACGGCATTGGCCTCCTTGACTACGACAACGGTGATGAGCGATATGTAAATCTGTACACCAGAGTGTGGACTCCACTAGGCGCCATGGCAAGGTGTTGTCTTGTCGCATGCGGCTTCGTCACGCAAGGGGGCTGAGAGTGGTGATGACAATGGGGATAGAATCCATCCGGTACTTGCGGCATTTATACGAGGTCATCGAGAAACTTGGACCCGCGACTTGTAGCATAGCATAATGGGAACTTTGGACACTTATGGCGGATATACCAAGATAAAGCTGAATGTAATGTTTCTTTTCTTTTTGAAAGGGGGAGGTCGTCACAACAAGTCATCTGAACAGTTTGAAAAAAGAAAAATTTCTTGGAATTAAACCGCCACGGCGCGAGTCAACGGTCAGCTATTTGGAAACAACCTTGTTTTTTTTCATCCCAAAACGGACTCCCGTAAAAATTCTTTTTTGTTTATTAAGAGTTCGAATCTCGCCAGCCTCCCATGTGCGTCACAACGTAAGTATTGTGGGGGGTTTTCATGAAAAGGTTAGGGACAGAGGGAGAGAAAAAAAAAGGTCGATCGGTTCGCCGTCCATCTGTCGCTGAAACATAACCGTAACCGTTCGCGATCCCATCCCATCCCATCACAGACACAGGCAACCAGCCGCGCAACCAGGTATCTAGTATCCGTACTGAGCAAGCTCGGTCTTGGTCTGCTCGCTGACAGCCGCCGACTTCTGGGCGTGGACGAGTTGACGGCGGGCAGCCTTCTTGCGCTCGTAGTAGGCGCTGCTCTTGACCTTTCTCCGCTCCTCGAGTCTGTAGAGGGATGTTTAGCCATGATCCGAATACAATGATGGGGGCCGCTCCAACGCGGCAACAGAATGAACATACCTGGCAACGACGTCCTGGTACTTCCAGCCGACCTCGTGGCTCAGACGGCCGACGGTGCAGTACTTGCGACCGGGGCGGAGGCGGAGGACACGGAGGGCCTGGGGAACGACGACGCGCTTCTTCTTGTCGTAGGGGGGAGGAACACCCTCGAAGACCTTGAGGCGCTCCAGAGCGGCAGCACCACGGGCAGTCTTGTGGGGGATCATACCGCGGACGGCCTTGTAGAAGATGCGGGAGGGAGCGCGGAAGTGGAAGGGACCTGTGGGAATCAAATTCAGCACCAGTCGAGAGAATCGGGTTTGTCGGAGGGTTTCAGGGTGGACTCACCACCGCGGGTGGGGTTGAAACGAGTCATCTTGCGAAGGTAGGCGTGGTACTTGACTATATCGCACGATCCAGGTCAGTCGATGTCGATTCCTCAGCATAAAAAAGCGCATCTATTGTGTTCCTCCACAACTGTCGCCTCAATATTTCGATCATCATCCCGACTCTTCTTTCCTCAATGTCGCAATTTATTTCACATCCAGCCCTGCACCTCACGTAGCAGACACCACACACCAAGGAGATAACCCAGGCGACAGCAGAGATGGCAAACACAAGAGATCGCATTCGAATTCGGATCGGATAGATGGTGAACGTACGCTTCGCGCGGAAGAACTCGCCGGAGATGTTAAGAGCCTCACATCTCACGACGACGATCTTCTGACCGTTGAGCAGCTGCTTGGCGACAGTGCTGGCAAGACGACCAAGAAGGTGTCCCTTGCCGTCAATGACGACCTGCAAAGAATTCCAACACAAGTCAGCGATTTTTCCCGGAAGAATCCCTGAGTGAAATATATAGAAATCCCCCGCCCTGTCCCTCCGCTTCTTCCGGGAGACGGTCTCGCATTCCCCTTCTTCCCCTTTCCACCTCAAACCCCCAAATTTTCCTCAATTATCCCTCCTCTTGCACTCGTCTCCGGTATTGTTGCAGATGTATGTTTTCAAGATAGGATGTGCATGTGTAGGTGTGGAAGGGGCGGTGGTACGCACGACTGGATCGATGGAGGACATCCTGCTGTGTCGAAAGGAAAATATCCAGCGATAGGAAGAGCGCTGCTCTAGGATACTCCCTTGGGATGTATAAGTTGTCGGCGGTTGTTGTCGTTGTGGGCAGGTTCAACGCACACACAACGGATGGTCGGATGGAGGTTCGCTGGGGTTTGGTCGCTAAGCGAGCGGCGCTACGGGCTTTCTTTGTGCGGGAAGCTCCCCCGTCGAGGGCCACAGCCCTAACTCCTTCTTTCCTGTGGCGTGGCTTGGGGGTCACGTGATACCATACCCTCATCAGGAGGGAATCCAGCCCCCAACCCTTGCCCTTATCTCTTGTTCAGAGATGGGAATATTGCCCTTTCGCAGATATTGGGTGCTTTGTGCAGATGCATGGTATGAAGTAGTTACTGCATAATAGTCACTGTCACTCCCTGCCATTCTGTTCCTGTCCTTGCAACGGCCAGGCTATACCTCATTGCATTAGTTCTGGGAGGGAGGAACTTAAGACAAGTGCCCACCCCGCAAATGACTACTAGATAGTGCGTAGACCCAGTGTTTCCCCCAGATACGCTGGTGTTCAATCTACATACTGTCCACTGCCCATCGGTCCCTTTTGCTACGGTCGCATCCACCATTTAAGTCCCTAAAAGTATCAGAAAGGATTAAGTTTCTCTGTCATTAGTTTACTATCACCCTAAAACCCTTCACTTGCTTCACCTGACCGGTGCAATCATCAGGCAGTCAGCCAATGGTCCTAGCCACCCGCCTACCGATTACGGTCTATGTATGGGCAAGTCCCCTCAATCAAACATGGCGCAACAATCACAATTCATTAGAAAACCCAGCTCAAGCGAGAGTTGCTGGTCATTATAGCAGCTAGAAGTGAATATTGTATACATTAAGATTAATATGTGCTCTCAAACGGCAAGCCAAGCCATGAGTCTCGCCACAGATACAGTCCGGCATCGAACGGGGACCTAGAGTCCGTCGCGCGCGCCAAAGCAATGACACCAAATAGAAGGGACAGATCGCACGCGATGGCTGTGTCTACGCGTGTATCGATGTCGAAAAAGGAAGAGGGGGTTGTGCAGCATTATACAAAAGAAGCAAAGACGTGCTATCTTCCATCACATCATACAGATCAAGAATTTGTGCCGGCTGTTTTTCAATAAAAAGGCAGCTTAGCGTCTCGCGTGCCCCTCGCGATGACTTCCTCGAGAGTCCAGCGCGGGGGCTCAATGGCCTTGTGGCCTCCATTGGGCTTCTCTTCAGAAGGAGGGAGGGGCTCTTTCAAGCCCCCTGCGACCCCGGAAGAAAACTTGAGCTCGAGAGCATCCCCGATCTCGTCGCACACCTGCAGAATGCGGTCGAGGTCATCCTTGGTGTGCGCAGCCGACACGCACAAGCGGGCACGGGAGAGCTCAAGAGGCGTAGCAGGGTAGGTCACAACGACGACGGAGATCTTCCGACGCAGCATTTCCCGGGAGAACGCAGGCATCTTGGCGGGGTTGTACAGCATCAGGGGGACAATGGGCGAATCATCGTGTCCATAAACGATGAACCCGAGTCGCTTTAGTCCAAGTCGTAGATAACGTGAATTGAACGCTAGACGCTGCATGCGCTCTCTGCCTTCACCCGGATGAAGGGGGTCTTCATCAGCAATAAGGCGCAGCGAGGAATAGATCTGCGCTAGAACAGGCAGGGACGGAGCTTCGCCGAATACCTGACCAGCATTGATGCAGCGCACTTTGTCGATGATCGCCTTATCGGCAGCGATATACCCCCCATTGGCGCCAAAGGACTTAGTAAAAGTGCCCATAAGGATCTCGACCTCAGCAGGGTCGACCCTGAAGTAGTCACAGACACCGCGTCCATGGCGCCCAACCGCGCCAATTGAGTGAGCCTCGTCAACGAACAAGTGGAACTTGTACTTCTTCTTCAGCTCAAGGATCCTAGGAAGATTGCACATGGTGCCCTCCATCGAGAACAGGCCCTCGACAGTGACAAGGATTTTCTTCCAAGGCCGGTGAGTGCGCGGCTGACCTTGCGAGATCGCCTCCCTCAAGCGCTTCTCAAGGTCCGCCATGTTGTTATGCGCAAAGACCTGGATAGCTGCTCCCGAGAGACGGGCGCCGAACCGGATGGATGCATGGTTGAGCTCATCGGACAGAATCAGACAGCCCTTTTCCATGATGGCCGGGAAGATCGTAGCGTTGGTCACGAATCCCATCGAGAACACCATTGCGGACTCCTTGCCCACGAACCGGGCGATCTGATCCTCGACCTCAACATGCAACTTGGTGACTCCTGCGTCAGGGGTGCCCGCGAGAGAGATCCCTTCCCGCCGGAGAGTCTCTTCCGCGAAATCGGTGCAAGGCCCCTCTGACTGAGCAAAGCCGAGGTAGTTGTAGGAGCTGAGATTCAGTGTGTCGGTTGTCGTGCCCGTGAAGCTGAAATGCAGGTTGTCTTCGGTGGTCCGGTCGAGGAGGGTAACATGTCTGCCGGGGACGCCGGTGATCGGCCGCTCGAAGCAGTCGTTGATCCGCTGCTTCAATCGACGCGTGTAGAAGCTCTCGAAGTCGCTGTACAGAGAGGCGTACCCATTCTGGGGCTTCAGATGCCGATAGGAATGAGACGAAAACCACTGAGCCCAGAAATCGTGGAAATGGCCGAGGAAGATGAGAACGAGAAAGCTGACGTAGGTCGTCAAGACAAAGAAGTACGGAGGTTCATCAATGACAGGGTCGGGAATCTCTCCCCCAGGGTGCTCGCTGGTGTAAAGATGCGACGGATCGCCGAGGGGCCCGAACTCGGCGTGCTGTTTAGCTAGCTTGCGGATCGCCTCAGGATCTGGCACTTTGGTTTGTGCTGCTCCTCTCATCGAGTCCGGAGAGCTGCCGCTGACAGCACGGAGAGAGGCGATGGCCGTAGAGTGAGCACTGGGGCTATCGGCGGGCGCTCCAGAACCACCGTTGCTGGCTCCCAGGTCTTTATCAGAGCGCGTCTTACTGCGCTTCCACCGAGGCATGTTGCAAGTGTGACTTGAGGAAAGCTATGCACCTCCTCAAGTCTCTAGAGCGGAGATAATCCGGTGTCCCTCAAGCTTCGAATGACGAATAGTGAGGGAGACGATCGGAAGAGGAATGAATGATGGTGGAGGTGGTATCGTGAGGTTGCTGAAAGTGCATCATCATGTAATCGGGGGGGGGGTTGCCGGGCTGGCCCCACTTCCGGCTGCTTCGGGAGATGAATTGACGATTGTTGATTGGGCTCGGTGCAAACCTGGCTTTAAGCGGAGACTTGAGATACAGATTTAGTGCCTCAGGTGCCTCAGGTGTCTACCCTCCGTACTAGTACCCGCTAACTAAGCCAAACCGCTTAAGTTACATGTCGTCACTCGTTTAGATAACTCTCTACTTCAATATACTCCGGCTACAGACTAGGATGCTAGGCGATACTCTCTCCTCGTCACACAAGAATGCTATGCGATTCCCGCCGGATTCTGCCTTTTCTTTATCTTTGGATTCCTCAATTGGAAATAGAAGAACCCGCCAGCTGTAGGTGAGCAGGCAACATGAACCGCTGGATACCAAGCCTTGTTGTTACACAGCAAGGTTGCATGTACTACCTGAGCCATGTCCTGGCTAAGCCCTGCCGATAATAGAACCAGATCCGCTAATCCTACGAATGTTTCAGAGAATCCCATAGCATCCCATAACAAAGATGCGCCGAAAGACACGCTTCGTCTGTGTCTCTGACACACACGCTTACACTCCCTCTGAGGCTGGGTTCAAGCTACCAGCTGGAGACGTTTTGATCCATGCGGGTGATCTCACCAACCATGGTAGCATGGCTGAGCTTCGTAAGACTATGGATTGGATTTCTGCGGCTGATTTCGAGGTCAAAATTGTCATCTGTGGTCAGTACTTACAATACCTAGCCGAGCTTGCACGAGAGCCGCCTGTGGCCTGTCCGAGACCAGAGACCGCAGCTCGTAGGGATGTTGGGGAACAGTGTCGATACGCATGAGTTCGCTGAAGTATGAAAGCGCTCCAGGAAATCATGACATTACGCTAGATGCCGATTTCTATGCCCGCCACGGTTCGAAATTTCATGGTCAGCATCTCGAAGACCCTCGGAAATGCATAGAACTTGTCACCGAAGCATCCTTCCCTTCCATCGTATTCCTCAGGCACGAGTCAGCACTAGTCCGGCTGAGGCGGCCCAACGGCCCAAACACCGTCTTCAAAGTCTTTGGCTCTCCATATTCCCAATCGCCAGGGACCTGGGCTTTTGGATACGACTCCTCGGAGGCTGCTGAGCTTTGGGGCAGAATTCCATTGGACATTGACATTGTGGTAACGCACACCCCTCCTCACTCACACTGCGACCGTCATGGAACGGCGGCTGAATCAGTCGGCTGCAAAGCCCTTCGTGAGGCCTTAAGCAACGTTCGACCGATGCTGGCCGTATGTGGCCATGTGCACGAGTCGCGCGGCTATGAGAGGGTGGAGTGGTCCCCTTCATCCATACCGTCACTGCCTGTGTCAAACACTCACGATCGACCAAGTCAAACCACTCAAGGCTTTCTCCCTCCTCGGGGAAGTAGAAAGCAAAGCTCCGTGGACCTGACAGGAAAAAAGTCATCGAAGCTAGACAACGATGGTTTCTTCGCTGAGCAAGTGGCAACGTCACTCGGAGCACTGTTCCAATCGACGCAGGATGTTATACTAGCTCCATTGCCTGACCCGTCGCTAGGCTGGACTCAGAATACTGAAGCCGACCGATCAGATTCGAAATCTGCCCTTTCATGCCTGAAGAGAGGAGAATATGACGATGAGAATGGGCTTCACTCGCACAGACGCGAGACTTGCATCATCAATGCGGCAATCATGGCAACGAGCTGGCCTTATCGAGGAGGGAAAAAGTTCAATACACCCATTGTGGTTGATCTAGAACTCCCGACATGGAAGGAGTGATGAGCAGCGACTTGAAGCGCACGGGGCTAGAGATGACGCCTAGCCATCCTAGAGCACACAAGCATTACCTCAGCATAGTAACCTAACTACTGCATTTTTCTCTCGAAGGTCCTGATACCATCTAGCTTCCAGCAAACAGCTTGAGCTTTGACCTCCAGTTTGACGTATCCCTGGCTGTTTTAGGTTGTATGCGTCAGTAGTTGCCTTGGAACAAAGAAATTTTTCAGCCTGGGCAGTTGAGTCTGCTCCTTTACCCTTTAGGTAGACGCCTCAACGTGATTGGGGGCCTGTGATGGTCACTAAGAGAATATAGTGATTTACATCATAAGCTAGTGGCAGCAAGGCGGGGTTTGAGAAGAGTGATGCTTCATGGCTCCCTTGCTCGATGTGCTGGGTCGAATCGTCATTTGACGAACTCGAGCCGGAAATAAAGTCACCTAGGTACTGAAAGTAGGGTGGGAAGGGAGTACAATAAACCCCATGAGCGACAATCCGTCATGCCTGCTATTGTTAGTACTGTATCATTCAGGAGACTCATGGATAATGCATTTGTTTGATCGCAAGACGCAGTCAGGTTTGAAACATCACATGAAATGTTTTCTTGCCTGGGTGTCATCTAAATGCGTGTTTGTCCTATAGCAAAACACGATAAGGCGGGGGTCAGCTGGAATCCTGATGGCCTTTGGGTGAACCGATAGTAAAGTGTCGTGTCGTAGTGCCTCGATCAGCGGTTACCAGTCGAGGATAGTAGTAGATGACGGAGACCCATCTGGAACCGCCTGGTGAGGGGGTTGCAGGCGCTTGACCCTGTCCTATGGACAGGGACAGAAGACTGAAAACTGGAAGTGTGCTTAGTACTCCGTAGTGGGGGGAGGGGGGGCGGCTTTGGGGACAAAGGGGGCTTGTCTCCCGAGGTTGAAGAAACCACCATTGTAGTTATCGACTTAATAGTGGATAGTGACTAAGAAGAGCAAGTCAGCGACTGAGCTGGAAATAGGTCATCAAACCATACAGAGATATACGCGCACCTCCCGCATAATTAAATGATCTTCAAGGTTAGGACATTTGGCAGGAATAGTCAATCGAGTGGTTTCCAAAGTTGTGGGGTAAACCAATCGAGACAGGGAGCATATGATGGAAAGGATGAGGGGTCCGTTGCTTGATCTGCAGCATCCACTGTTTCTGCAAGTAGCAGTTCAACGCAGCTCAAAATTTTTGCTCCATTATACAATCTTCCGAGCCTTTTTAACGGGCTTCCTCGATGGTCTAACGGTCATGATTTCCGCTTGTCAATCCCAGTCGGGAACAAGCGCGGGAGACCTGGGTTCGACTCCCAGTCGGGGAGATTTGTTTTTGCGCCCTTTCCGCTCAGATACTCTTCAGTTCCAGTTGGTACAACCAACTGCCCAATACGTACGTACTTTTTAGAGCAGCGATGAGCCACCTCCACCCGCGTGGCTCGGCTGTTCTTATACCATGTCGTTTCTCTCAGGCCCACTTTCCCGATGCAATGGAACAGATCAGCCCAGATGAAATGCTGATCAGTCTAGAGATGCCACAGTCGTAAAGTCAGACCCCAGCTGAGGTGGGCCCCGCATCAGCTTTCGTATTACATGTACGATTCATCGGTCATCCAACGCGAGGACCACTTCCACTACAATCTGCATCCGTGGCCCGGAGTCCGGACAGCGCCACCTGGCTGGGGTTGGGGCGCTAAGGCGGCCATAGCCATGAGTTTCCCCTCAATCGAGCTAGTGGCTAAAACTAGAGCCAAGTAGGTAAGGTAACCGCCGACTGGGTGGATTGATAAGATGCAGCCAGGATGGCTAGTGGTCGAGATTATTGGTGGACGCTCGGTCATCCCCCTGGTGCGGCCTTCAACTGGTGACCGCGGAGCCAGGGATACTTAGTAAGGTAGTATGTCGAAGTCGAATCCGTCACTCTTCCACGAGGCACTCGCACTGGAGATTCACTTGTGCCTCCAAGCCCCACCTACCGGTAGGCTTCCATTTGTGGATGTTGCGGGCCAGTAAAGCTCGAAGCTGCCTGTATGGATAAGTATGGTGTCTTCGGGACCGCATGGAATTTCGAGAAGCGACAGAGACATGCTCACTCGGTCAGCACTCATCGGAGATAGTCATACGTATGCCATCGGCTCAAGGGTTGCTTGAGCGGCCGATCGGAGTCGGAGTATTGTACATCACCAAGCGATCATCGACTCCGCCGATCCTGCATCCAAGACGTTGCCGTAGCCAGAGACAAAGATACTCTCCGACTCAGCGAAAAGTCCATTAGACTCTTGCTAACGTGTCGCACCATACTGCTACAGCTCCCACCCCAGAGAAAAACTCTTGACGAATGTCCATGGTAGCCGCTCTATTCTTACGCGCCTTTGCGCTGTGATTGGACGCCGCTCAACGAGAGATCGGAGCATCCGCCTGCAAGCTAATGCCGAGATAATCATTGCATGGTGCGCGGCCAGAATGATAGGCCAAGCCTCGCTTCTGGGGCAGATGACTCGGTCTAGGGCCCAGTCACTCCTTCGAGAACAATCAGCTTCGTGAGGGGCACCCGTTGAAGGGATCATGGACCCAGGCAGCTTGAAGTGGTACAGGCAAGGTAATCTGACAGGCCAGTACGAGGTGAGAATCCAAGCGTAGAAGACATACTCCTCAACACACGTCGATTGTTCTTTTAGCTTTTATCGCAAGGTTAGATCGAGGTGATAGATCTACAGATGAAAGGGTCACGCCTTGGAGTTTGTGATGACTTAACCGCCAGGACAGGTCGAGAGGTGGACCTGGCATGAGCATGGACACTGGGACGAAGTAGTCGAGATCTAGGACAACTTGTAATCATTACCACGGAACCGTTCGGGACCAACCCACGGGACCATTCCACGCGAAGCCGGATCGGATCGGTGATGTTAGATGACGGTGATAACCATGGATGCTTCGTCAGGTACCATGCTAATTGGTGTCCCCCGCGAGCCTGGGTGTCGCTGCATGTATCCGCTGGATTGGAATAAATTGGGCGACACTCGGTCACTATGCGAAGATAATCTGTTCAATAAGCTATAGTTTATGGATTAGGGAGAAATATCAAGAGGGAGAAGAAAGAGAAGGGTTGGTGAAGGGGGAGGGGGAGGGGGGAGCAACAGGCCGAGCTAATTCAAGGCTGCAGAACCCGGCGTATCATCTCGGTGAGGCAACAGGAGTACGATGCAGCGGGGAAAAAAAGCGCACGCAGATGACCGTGTCGATGATTGGATTATAAAAACCTCTCGGTGAAAGCAAAGGTGACGAGAATATTCGTCGACCTATCGAGGTAGTCGGAGAGCAGCCAAGATGGTGTGGGTGAAGTTATGAACAACGGAGATGCAAAGGGTGTGTGTGGCAGTCACAGCGGGCGCCAACGAGTTGTGGTGGTGATGCGGGGTTCTCCTGCTGCGGCGGTTCAAGGTTGATTGTTGATGGCCACTGGTCAAACCGAACAGGGTTTAGGGCGGGTGGTGCGTGGTGAGGAGATTCATGGGGGTCGCGATATCGACGATGATTAGTTGGCCTGGAACCATCTATCTGATCAATCAGCATGCAAGAGGGCAGTGCCAACTGACGACTGGAGACTGGAAATTTGAAGAGAATTAAATCCGAGGCCGATCGGAAAGACGAACCCACTCTCTCAAGTCCCAAGTCCCGACTGCCCCGCATACCCTGACCGGTGGACGGTCGCCCTGGTGAACTGGGATGGATCATGGATGGATGGATGGTGGTGGTGGTGGTGGTGCGTGCTCATCTGACATTTGACAGGAGATTAGAGGGGGAGGAGATGGTACAGACCAAAAATAACGAGTTCCTGGCCACACGCTGCCTTTTAGTAAGATGTAGATGTGACAGATGTGACTGCGTGTGGTACTAATCAGTTTCGTATGAGTAAAGTAGGCAAAGGTATTCAGGGCGGGCACCTCAGTCTTGCTTGAGTTCCATCTAACCGAGGAGACCGAGGAGAAGTCAAGAGGGAAAACCCCCACTAGCACCAAAGAAGAAAGACGGTTTGTCTGAGTGGTGCAAGTGCCAGTGCCATGCCGTGTGGTATGGTAAGTACTACTAGGTAGGTATACAGTACAGTCTCCGTACGGAGTACTGACCGACTCCATCCCCGACCGGGAACGGACCAGGAGGCAGTCGAAGTATACCCAGAACAACCGAGCTTCTGTACCACACATATCATTTCCGGTTTCCAGTTCGATTTGACAGATTCCATGTGTTAACCTGGGAAATATTAATCTCATCTGGCACCTCGTCTGCAGGATAGAAGGAACTGGCGAGAGAGAGAGAAGACTCGGAGATCTCAACTCGATGCTTCCATTGCCTTAGGCAAGAATTGCCAATTGACCGCTTCATTGGATGAACCTCTCCCTGTTGGTCACTATCCCATCAGAAGAATACACCTCAGGGAAGATTAGGGACGAACAAAAGTCCCCATCGTTGGTTTCATCCACTTCACCGCTGCTTCTGAATTGGTCCTATTCCTTCTTTTTTTCAAGAAGAGGGCGACAAACGCCTGAAGGAGACTGAGTCACTACCAGCACGAAGGAGAAGTGAAGTGAAGTGAAGAGGCAGGGCTTCTTCTCTTTAGATTATTTATCATCATTGACTGCACTTGTTGATTACTCAGTAAAGGAATGGGTTCCTTATTCCTCTCTATTCCTCTCTCAATTTCTTCCTATCACTACCATCAGCATTAGCAGCGGCCGCGGCAGCAGCAACAGCAGCAGCAGCACTAACTTATCAGTCATCCCTCCCTTTCCTTCTTTGCCCCCAACAGTATCCCGCTCCACCCTTTGAATCGCCCGTGGCATCATCGAGCGTCTTGGACTAAGCTGAGCCAGCTCATATTGCTGTCATTCTAGCTCTTCTTGCCATCATTCATCATCATCAGTATTATTCATCATCGTCCACAGAGCAAGAAGGAGAGAGAGAGAGAGAGTGTGTGTGCCTATTCAGCAGTAACTTGACTACCCACTGCATTGTTACTAAACTTCCTAACGTGGTGCCACTTCACACGCCTATCCTTCTTTTGGATGTTGGGGGAAGAGGATTAATATCTTTTCGACATTTTCACATTTCTACTTTTAGTGTTTAGGAGAGAATCAGCGTGGCGCAGTTTGCTTGGACCTGACCTTAGAAGATTATTATTTATTCATTTTGCTTTTCATTTTTATTTTTTCGCTTCTATATTTTTTTTTGCCCCTCTGGTGTTGGTCGCCTCTCCCGTACTACGACTGAGGGAGGGACTGGCTGACCTGAACTTTACCATACTCTGACTATACATTTAGTTACTTTCACTTTCGCTTTCCCCTGAGCAGAATTACCCGGAAGCACATCCCATCATCATCGCCCCAGTTTCCTCAAGTGGGTTCGTTCGTTCGTTCGTTCCCACCCATTGCTTGCCTGTTTTCCTTCTGATTGATTACTCTCATGCCAGTCAGTCTTCAGTAATAATACCTTGATATTCGCTCACTCGTTCACTCGTTCACTTACTCACTTACTCACTTACTTACTCACTCTTCTTCCCTTCTCTCTTCATTGATCAACTGCTTGCTGGCCATTCCCTTTCTTGCCTGCCTGCCGGTTTTCTCCCCTGGCTGACTATTACTGTTGTCATCCTATTCTCTGTCCCCTTTTTTCCATCCCCATCCACCCCCTCCAATTACTATTCTGGCTGCATCTGCCTGCCTGCCTGCTTGCTTGCTGCTGCACTTTCTCCCTCACTCCTTCGCTTCTCCCTCGTTCTCTCATGTTCTCCATGAATTGGCCGCATATCCGATCTGGTGAAATCTTGAGCATGAGCCATTGATCGTCACGAGAACCCACGTCACCCCATCGTTCCCCCCGTCCATCCGCCCACTCGACTCCAGGGTACCTGCACAATATCACACTGCCTCCATCCCAAATCTCGCCTCCCGCTACTTGTTTATCGTCCACCGCCTCGGTCGCTCCGATTTCCCTTTTATACAGCGCCACACAACGCCTTTCGCTTTTCTGCTCTCACTTAAAACCCCTTCTACTATTCTAATCCGGACCATACTAACACTTGTATGGTATTTGTACCTTGTGTGCTTGATCAATTGATCACAGCTTTCACATCATGACCTCCTCCATATCAGACATTGATCCATATGTGGTGCTGGGAGTCCAGAAAGATGCGACCCTGGCTGACATTAAATCCGCCCATCGCAAACTGGTGCTGAAGTGGCACCCCGACAAGGTCAAGGACGAAAGCCAACGAAGTCAGGCTCAAGATGAGTTTCAGAAGGTCCAACAAGCCTACGAACTTCTCTCCGATGAGACAAGAAGGGCCAAATATGACAACAAAGTTCGTCTTGCGGAGCTTCGACGAGAGATGATGGCGCGCGGCGGGAATCCCAACGGTTCATCCGCGCGAAGCAATGGTTCTGGTTCCAGCGGGCCCCGCGAATACCGCAATGGGCGGATCTACGAAGAAAGAACTCCGGCCGATGCGACCAACTTCTACGAGGAGGACGGCTTGGATTCCGACGGAACACGGCCGACAGCTCGCAAGTACGATGAATACGGCAAGCGACGGACCAAGGTGGCGGAAGAGAAGAAGAAGGCGAAGAGTGTCCCCCTAAGTGCCGCCCGCGCCGCGAAGGAGATGCTTCGGGACAACGTCAAGACGACCCACTCGTCTCGCGACAAGTACCGTACCAAGGAACGCAAGCGGGATGCCTACGACAAGAGGTATCCTGAACGGGCCGCCCCGTACAGCGAGTCTGAAGATGACGGCGCGGCTTCCGATTCTAGCGCATCATCCTACTACGTACGAGTCAAACGGCCCTCAGAGAAACGAAGCCGGGAGTCGTCCACACGCAAGGCTCGACCAACTGAATCAACCCGTCGCCCGGAGCCTGCACGTTACGAATCGGAGGATTACTCAGATCGCAGGGAGTCGAAGCATGAGAAGATGCACACTACCGCGCGCGATTACATCCTACGATCCAAAGGAACCGTTCCTATTGAAATTGATCGAAGGGCACAGGCATCTCGGTCGCCTCCTCGTCCTCACGCTTACGATTCAGCCGATCCCGAGTCCTCTTCCTCCCGGCGCTCGAATCGATCTAATCGGCCTAGCAAAGAAACTGTGCGAAGCTCGAGTTCCCGCAACAACTCTTACGAGCATATTGAGTCCCAGTCTCGACCCTATGACGCCAAGGTCCCCAGCATGCCCACAGCTGCAACATCGCCAGCTGTCAAAGTATCCTCGTCAATCCGGCCTTCCCTTCAATCTTCACGATCTGCATCCACTGCGCAGTCCCATTCCCGACCGAAGACCTTAGGTCGTACGGAGCAGTTCCTTCTGCACATGGTACACGACGGTAACTCTCGGACGACGAAGCTCCGAAATACAGACAAATATGATTCCGGGTATTCTAGTCCGGGAACACCGGACTTACCACCTGGAGAGAGCCCGATGAAGACCAGATACAAGATCGTGACAGAGCCTGGTACAGTCCTGGTGGAGCCGAGCATGCCGCCACCCCACGCGTCCTCAAGACATGCAAGGGGGCACTCGCCGCCTCGACAAGATCGTTCGGGGTCAAGCCGTCCTATGCCAAAACCAGTCCGCAGCAGTACTTATGCTTACCCAGCGGAGTATTCGGGTCGCTATGAGTCGTCATCTCGACCTAGTGCCTCCAGGCAGTCTTCTTCGCGACCCCTCTACGGTGAGGTGGAATACACCCGTAGCAAGGATCGTGATTACAAGTATGCACGCGAAATTGGGCCCGAGCATATCCCCCATTCCGGTCGCGATGCCTATTCCCGACGCATGGACGAATATCCGCATCCACCGATAGGCAGACGTCAATCTGCTTACGCTCAATAAGTCATTCTGGAGCCAGCAGCATGTCGCCAGTAGACAGACTCATCGCGATGTTTCACCACGTTTCTTTTCACTTCTTGCATACCGACGCGACCATTTCCACTCTACAACATACTACTAGCGAGGACTTGGTTCAAGACGCCTGCTTTGATATACCCATATCTCTTTCGACTTAACGGAGTATCTCTTCGTTTGTCCGTCGATGAATCCCTCAATCCATGACTTTAACTCTTTCCGATTTTCGACGACCTCTGACATTCAACCATTCTTCGCATACATCTTTATTGTGCTTTATCTTCACTATGCTTGCAACTACTTCGGCGCATGGGATGGGGGTTTGACTTGGTTTGGTGTATTTGTTTTTCTGATGATCAAGGAACAGGGGGGTAAAGAGGTGAGGCGATATCCTCAATGAAGCAGGAGTCTATGATGATGATTACGAGTGACATGATCGAAATTTGGGAGGAAGCACTTTTTGCAACAACAGCAACAGCAACACACATAGCCACATATCCACTTAGTACAGTAGAAGACTACCTACCACCCACACAATCTCAACAATGAAACCTACACAACACACCTGATCAGGCCCCGTTCCATCTTCTACCAAGTAGTCTGTCTTTACTACTACATCATCATCATAATCATCATCATCATTCGGATACTGCGTACAGTAAACATACTTACTTCATCAAGTTATAGTTTGGGTATTCATGCATCAACTCCCCTCACGGAGTCAATGCTAAAATGTCGCCCCCTACGTAAACTGAAGAAAAGTAGAGAGAAAGAAAAAAAAACTCCCCGCAAGCTAGCCAGCGAAGCCCAGCCCACTCACCAGGTAGTAAATCACTTAACGTTCAGCCTGTCTACTACATACATACCATAGTGAGTTGGGCCACCACCACCACTCAGGCTCAAGTACCGAGTTTAAAAACCCAACACAACCCCACACATATCCACCTATCGAACCCCACACACAGTAATGGTTCGAACCCCTCTGTCTGTCTTTGGAACAGGAAAGCAGCCCTCTATTCATTACTGAGTGGGGGTTTTGAAGCAGTATCGCCAAACTATTATAGTCTAGCGACTGGGAGAGCCATGATTCAACCTTGTTGTCATTTTGGATTTCCCAGTTGGTCAATAAAAAGCCTACTCGTAATCATGGAGATGCGCATCGCCCATGTACACAGTCCATCAAGCATTTACATGGAACTTGAAATAGGACATGAGACAAAGGAGAGTGCAAAAAAAGAAAGCTTGGGGATAGTCAACATGGAAGAAAAAAAGGAACTACACTTTGTGACAGCACACAGCCACGACCACACGGAGATACCAGGGAGCCGGGAAAAACCAGAATATCAGATTCGAAACTAAGCGGGTATGTAGATTCTGCAGATGTGCATGCATGGAATGTAACAGACTTGGAAGGATGATGAAGATGATGTGTGTGTGGTTCTTAGAAAAGAAGGGGTTGAGGGAGGACATATTGGCTTGTTGTTTTGGTTAGATCACACAGCTTTCTCATTCCGTGTCTGACGTCGGTCGCTGCTGGCTTTGGGCGGCTGAGTGTGATAGAAGAGGGCGACTGTGCTACATTTTGAGGCTGAGGAACGAAATTCGCTCAGGTGGAACATGGAGTATGAATTGTGGCAGTATCGTCTAGGCTAGAATGGATGATCGAGGGCGAGGGATGATAAAGTGGGATGTCAGATGAATGGGCGGAAGGTAGATAGATTAGATCACGCGGCCTGCGTCCAGGCGGGCAATGAGTGGGATATGATATCAGTCAAGTCGTCCGTCGGCCTCATGGCTCGGTCCAGTCAACCTGATCCGTCACAGGGTCTGAACCATCCTTGGCATATGTGATCCGCAGACGTAGGCGAAGTTTAGGTGGGAGGGCCTGTGGCAAACATTAATATACGTGCAAGGAATATTGCAGGATAGTGGAGGGACTTACCCCGGCCAGGCCTGCTACTTTGAGCATCTGAATCCCCTCGTCACCAGCCTCCAAATCTGCCTTGCTGATCGCATTCAGCTGCAGACGCTGACTCTTGGGAACAGCAGCCTGCAATCCTACATTGGAGAATTGGCCAGAGTTTCCGACGTTACGGAACCGCGCCTGGATTTGCGCATTGCCGTTGCTGGCACGTTGAACTTGAAGCGTGAGTGTCAAGTCATTCTTGTTGTATGCTGTGTGTACCGGAGCCGAAGGTGCAGGGCTTGGAGCTGGCGACGCAGCAGCTCCAACGCCTCCTAGAAGATCCAGACCGGAGGATGCGGACTGCGATACGTTGGGAGAAGGCGTAGTGCCATTGGAGTCGAAGAGACCCATGATCGCGCTAGTGTTGACGGATCCAGCCGGCTTTTGCGCAGGTTGAGGAGATGGTGATGACAGGCCTGAATCGCCACCGAGGATATCTGCCAGAAGGTCGGCTGTGTTCTGAGAGCCGTTAGTGGTTGGGCTAGTTGCTGGAGCATCGCCACCCATGAGATCGAGCAGCATATCCTGCTCCGCCTGCTTGACCGGCTTCTTAGACTTATCCTTCAACAGTTTGCTCTGGCGTTTCTTGGTCGGAGCACCCAAGACTCTTTGCTCTTCCCGGATCTCCGGGGGAGGCATACGTTCCAGAACACCACGGCGGACCTGATCATACCCAAACAGATTAGTGTACTCGACAGCCCGCTGTTGAATCTCGACACTCAGGTCAGCGGTCCGGCTGCTAAGGAAGCGACGGAGACGCTCAATCTCAGCGGGATCGGACATGCGCACGGTTAGCTTCATCGAAGCCGTGGTGATGTATTCGATTACGGTCTGAGTAGCATATGTGCTGTTCAGAATGTTGTTGAAGAGATCGACAATGTCACTCTCCTTGACCTCCTTAACCAGTTCCTCTTCCTCATATTGGCCACCACGCAGTAGATTGTCGCCGTATTCACCGATGACCCAGGTGGCGGCAAGGGTGAGACCCTCCTGTGAGATGTCCTCCTTCAGGGCTAGATAGAGTTTCTGCACCGAATAGGTCTGCAAGTCAGGAGTGGTAGCGATGAGGCGGACAAAGGAGGACAGAATCTGCTCCTTCACATATGCACCAGCAAGTTTGAGCACACGAAGGATGGTGTCAACGTGCCAGCGCTTGTTGGGAGCATAGCGGTCGGCAGCAATGCCAATTTGCGTCGTCATCGCAGGCTTGAATTCGTTGTCGGCGACTTCCAGGAACGCAAGCAATTCCCGAACAAGCACACGGACGTTGCTCTCGTTAATGAGCATAAAACTCAAGTCTAGAGCTCGTCTCCGAATACTGATATCTGGGTCGCGGAGGCATTCCAAGATGGTGTTGCGGTGTCGCTGCACGGCATTGGGCTCGATGGCGACGACCTTATTTAGCGTGTTGAGAGCGACATAACGGATGTTGTTATCCTTGTTTGTAAGGAATTTTCCGAGAATGTTGACACCCAGCACCCTGAGACCTGAGTCCGCCTCGATATCAAGAATAGTGAGGACAGCCTCGTAGAGAATGGCATTACCGACATTTTTGGTCGAATCGGTGTTGGTAGCCACCTGCGCCAGAATGTCGTTGATTGACTCGCTCGTTGCCGCATCGCCTCTCCCCAGTACCCTAAGCAAGCGTAGAATCTTGACCTGGAGGAAAGGATCCGTGATACCCGAGACGTCATGTTCCGGAGCATATCCTGAACTTGTCAGTCCTTTCAGGGCACGCACAAGTCCACCCGCGAGAGGCCTGAACATCTCAATGACTCCTTCTTGGCCCTCCTCGGCCTCTTCGGCCTCACACATATCAATTGCCAAGGTCAAACCACATAGCAGAACACCGTGGTTCCGATCCGACAGCAAATTCTTGGCTTTCTCTAGGAAATGTTCCTGTAGGTCAGGAACCTTGCGGCAAACGCGCATGGCGCACAGCGCTGCCTTTCGCCGAATATAAGGGTTCGCGGTGGACATCAGGGCTTCGACTTCGGGGAACAGGTCTCGAGACATTTCGACTGATGCGATGTTTCCCAGGGCACAAAGTGCCAGGCCCACGATATATTGGTTGGAGTGATTAAGGTCACTACCAGACGACGTCAGCAGGGGGTCACTGGTGGTACTGGAATAGTCACTCACTTCTTCAAAGAGTTCGTTACCAGCGTCAATACTTCTTGGTTCTCGTCTAGCAATAGCATAGTGCCCAGGTATCCCAGCCGCTTGTCTGCGAAGCGGTGGGAAGCCAGCAGCTTCAAGCACTCGATCTGGCCGAAGTGTGTCCGTTCACCCAAGGTAAACAGATACAGAAGCTTGGCCACATTATTTCTCCTGTCCACAAGTATAAGAACCCTGCTTAGCGGCAAAGATGGGAGTGTAAGATTGCATTGCTGACCGAACGTTTGAATCGTGGCTCTCTTCTCTGAAGGACGCACGGATGGCCGCACTCTCCTTTTGGATCACTGCTCGTTCGTCGGCGATTGTCTTGGCCGACCGGACATTTCGAATGAATTGCTTAACTATGATATCAGGGCGACAAGGAATGGGTTGTTAGTGACTGATGAGTCAAAGCGTGGGCCAGACAATAAGGTAGGGTTGTCGATGGAGGAGGGGGGGTTTCCTTCACATACGGGATGCCATGGCGGGCACAAGGACCCCTTACGGGGAAATGCAATAGAAAGGCGGGGGGAGGTCGCCCGGACAGAAGAGAACCGGAGAGGGTGAGGGAAAGAGCGAAGAAGCCAGTCTGCGCAATCTCAAGAGAGGTGAGGAGAGAGGAAAATGGAAATGATCCTGGTGGGGGGGGGGGACAGTGAAACTGGAGATTGTAGCAACAATAACTGATAAAGATCGGGCCAGCAGACCAGGTTGGTTCAAGACAGTTTCCAGCTGGGTTGAGCGGTTGAGCCTCGCCCGCTCCTGCGACTTGGCCGCCTTGGCACTCCCCGTCTATGTTGGGTCTAGCGTGCCTCGTGCCTCCTTCCCGCCTGCTATCACGTGCTACAGACTATTGGAGCCTTACTTATCAGGCCATGATATTTCTGCCTTCTGCCTCACTGCGTACTCGTATTACGTACTTGGTATTGTACAGGCAGATTCTTACATCATCGATCATAACTTCACTCGTTCACTCGGTCACTCGGACAGGCACAAAAACAACCCCGAACTGCACGGAAGATGCGGAGACTCGGCCCAACCGCGCTTCCGATGACGTCCTTGCAATCCAACCTTGAACACTCTCGCAACAGTACCGATTTCCCCGAGTCTTTCCCCCTGCAGCCGCTTCAGGTATGACATTAATCAACTTTCCAAGATGCTGCGCTAGTCATCTACAGTAACTTCCACTCTACTGCAGGAGGTGCATGCTGATGATCGCCCTTCCGCCTCCTGAAGGCTTTTAAGGCTTTAAAACATACTCCGGATCCGCGCCTCAATGTCCGACCTTTCTATACTTAACCCCTGGAATACCTTTCGTATTCGTTTTGGTCGGTTGGTCCCTGCACGAGCCAGATTTAAGGTGTGTGTGTCTCTCTGTCTGACTGTGCTCGAAGTATAGGATCCACATAAGAGACCGCATCACATCCCCTCCCCCCTCCCTCCCCCTTCTGGATTTCTCTACTTGTCGCATGCCCTGTTGCATGCGTGGCAAAAAGAACAGATCAACCTACGTACAGCATTGTCTCCTATATCAATTGCATTATTCCCCTTTTCCCATTCATTCTTCACTTGGTTCGATGTGACACTGTCTTGTTTCCCCTTTCCTCCATCCCCTTATCTGATTAGACCAACATGTCTTCTGCCATTCAAAAAGTGAATGACTCCCCATTATTACGGCCGCGTGTCATCCCGGCCATGAAGAAGTCGACGACGGATCCTACGTCTGTTCCTCCTTTGGAAAGCTTAGAGTCAAGGTAGGCAGCGAGCGACCAACTCCAACAGTCGCCAACAAATTCGGAGACTGACAATCTTTACTTTCTAGCGGCCATTCGACACCTGTCCCTGAAGATGCCCCGCCTTCCCTCCATTCGATTTCCACCGCCAGGAAACAAGCTCGAGCACGCACACGAATCTTCTATACCATCGACTATGTGCCCCGAGTGTCTCATTTCGACCCGAGAAGCGACTACCGCAATTTTCGCGGTTTCTATACCCTGTTTTGGATCGCATTGTTTATCATGGTGGTTACCACAGCGCTTCGCAATATCAAGGATACTGGGTCCCCGTTCAGAGTGAGAGTTTGGAATCTGTTGTCGGCAAACGTGTGGTCCATGGGCGTCAGCGACCTGGCTATGGTCGTGAGTAGCGCTGCGGTGCTACCCCTCCATCGCATAATCAGGGCTCGTGGTGGTGTTTGGCGCTGGAAAGGAGGGGGCATGGCCATGCAAAGTATTTTCGAAGCGGCCTGGGCCTGCCTATGGATCAAGTAGGTTGTGACAGCTATACTATTCCTGGGGTCGTGATTCCTTGAGCTAACCATGAGGTGCAGTTGGCCCTTCATGATGCGCTGGACCTGGACAGCGCAAGTATTCTTCACCCTCCATACGTTGACTATCCTGATGAAAGTACACTCTTATGCCTTTTACAATGGTCATCTCAGCGAGACTGAGCGTCGTTTGTCCTCGCTTGATAAGCCCGGCTCTGTGTCCTTGGAAGCTCCGGTGCCGTATCCGGATGCCTCCCCTCGTCGGCACGCTGCCACCCGGCGCCATAGTCAACACGCACGGTCCGAATCGATAGCCGAGTTGCGCGAGGACCTAGCCACGGAGCTGACCTCGCCGATGGGCAATGTGACATATCCTCAGAACCTGACGGTCACCAACTATGTGGATTTCATCTTCTGTCCCACTTTGTGCTACGAGTTGGAATACCCTCGGAACAGTGACCGGGATTGGATCGAGATCGGCCTGAAAACCCTCGCGATCTTTGGATGCATCTTCCTTCTGACGTTGACCAGCGAGGAGTTCATTGTACCTGTCTTGAGCGAGGCCAACATCCAGCTCCACACCGTGTCAAGCATGACTGAAAAGGCCCTGATCATGGCGGAGACCATCAGCATGCTTCTCTTTCCTTTCCTGATCACCTTCCTGCTTGTCTTTCTCGTCATCTTCGAATATGTGCTGGGCGCTTTCGCAGAGCTGACTTGTTTTGCCGACCGTCATTTCTACTCGGATTGGTGGAACTCATGTGATTGGTACGTCTGCTGCACAAGGACACCTTTGGTGGCTTTTATGGAGGCTACTAATGATGTGGGTTGACATGAGCTGACGAAAACGTTTCTACCTTATTCAGGTTGGAATTCTCCAGGGAATGGAACATCCCCGTACACCACTTTCTCCGGCGCCATGTCTACTTCCCCTCTCTCTCCCACTTCTCCAAACCAGTCGCCATGTTCATCACCTTCCTCGTCAGCGCCATCGCTCACGAACTGGTCATGAGCTGTATTACTAAGAAGCTTCGTGGCTACGGCTTCCTCGCCATGATGCTCCAGCTGCCCATCGTTGCGGTCCAGCAGTCCAAGTACATAAAGGGGAAGACCATTCTCAACGTACGTGCATCCATGTTACTTCGAACCACTCCCGAATATAGAAAGCATGGAACTAAAACTAATCTCTCCCTCCACCAGAACGCCTTCTTCTGGCTATCGATGATTCTCGGGTTATCCATGGTGAGTACTACTTAATGTTGGTGTCCCCAGACCCTCGACTGACACTTAACCTCCCATCCAGATGTGCGCACTCTACGTTCTCGTCTGAACTCATGCCATCCCCCACGAACCAACAAACACTCAGATAGACAATCTTACTCGCCCCGTATATATACATACCATCTACAAAGCTAGGGTTGGCGCTATTACCATCGTCCCCGCACCCCTGCAACCAACCACATATACCATATTCTATCATCAATTCTTGAAGTATACTTCTCTTCTTCTGTGTGTTATCATCATCCCTTATATATATCCTGATAGTTGTCATCACTGCATGAATGGACCCCTCCTTCTCAGCGCGTCCCCACATTTCTTTTTTCTTTTCCAAGTCAATCTACAGTGCTTGTACAGCATCAATTCTGCTGATTTTATGCAACATGCCGACTTTCAGCTTTTGTCTGCTCATGCTCATTTTATGAGTCCGAGTTCCGAGGGAGAATATAGAAAGAAGACTGGATCTAGAGAACGGTATTCGTGGGTAAGGGATCTTTATCCAGTACAGCGATAGAGGAGGGGGTTACAGACCATAAATGCTATAGAGATGGCTCTCAAAGATAAATATTCGCCCGATCGGGTTAAATCTGGCCCAGGCCACATTTGCGGCATTGGCATATATTTCTACCAGAACGGCTAGAATGCAATACAAAGAACCAATGGAAGAGACTGAACAACCATGATAGATATCTTATTTCCATTCTGCTGCATCGATGGCGCCATCTTCTATACCAAAATCTTGCCAAATAGTCGAACAACAAGCAAAAACTTGGTTCCGTGACCATGATGACGCCTGGAAAACAAAAACTGACAATAACTGGAATGGTGAAACGCGACGGAAAGATACTCACTCGGCCAATCGGAAACCCGCCCGCGCCGTTCCACAAATGATGCAATAAGACGGGGTTCCTGGCCGATCCCCGAATGGAACGTGTAAAAAGTCGATAACCTCCAAAATCCCGACAGTAACAGAGTGTAGCTAGACAAGGCGATCAACACCGTCTTAGCCAGCCCAAGGGAGCCAAGTTGAGATATCATGTTGTGAGACAAAACGGTCAGAGTCCAACTATGCGTTTTGTGCACTGTCCCCACTTCTAGATATGCTCGATGGGCTCCTCGGGAAGAAGAATAACCCTTTCGCGGCGATCACGAGGAAGACAAGCCTTGAGTGGGGGCTGGATAATATCGTTGAAGAGGAAGGTTCCGTAGACGAGCAGAGCAAAGCCGGCCACTTGGAGCCATTTGAAAGTTTCCCAGCCCAGGGCTAGAGAGACAAGCCAAATGAAAAGGGTGCGGCACGTGTCGATAGTACTACGCGATGTAGCCGAGACGGTGTGAGTAACAGAAAGCCCAAAGAAATTGAAGCCGCTGGAGCAGAAAAACTTAGTACCAACAAGATCGAAACTGTTTAGTCATGATAACTTACCCAATGCTGATCATGATCAGAAAGCTGGAGATGGCGATTGGCCGGTTGTGGAGAATTTGGCGCCATCCTTCCTTTGCGTCAAAGTAGCCATAGCGACCTGCCTCGGTCCGTCCGACAGCCAGGTACATGATGATCGAGCCGATGACAGTCACACTGAACCCGAAGATACCCTCCCAGCCAACGACCTGAAGAGGATCCATGGCGTAATGTTCCAGGATCCATTCCTCGAGCACGAACTGCGAAGCGGTGAAGATCTGCGCTGCGGCAATGAGAAGAACACCGATCAGTGTTTGCACGGCTTCTGGAGTTCGTGCAGTGGTCTGCACTTCTCGGAGAGCATGTGTGACGGCCGCTGCTGCGTTCTCCGGGGCAGATTCATGGCCCTGGCTGAACAGGGCGCCTGCAAGGCCAACCAGCGCAACGCCAAGAACGACCACAAACAGGGCAGCCCAGTGGTAGATGTGAAGTTTGCGGTGGAGAAAGATCACACTGAAGAGACCAACAAAGAGGACGAGGGCTCCCCGGGTCATTTGGTAAATACTAGCGGCGACGAACAGCAGCCCGACGTTCATCAAAGTAGTACCCGCGATGTCACAGCATGCCGGTGCTGCAAGGAGGAAGATCCTCCATCCTTGGAGACGAATGCGCCCATCAGGTGATTCATCGGGCTTGGTGGAATCACGAAGATATTCGGGGCCCCGAATCGTGTAGTCTTCCTCTTCTTCGTCAAGCCCATCATCATTGTGGACGGGATGATAGCCACCCGCCAGCAGAGGGGAGGAGTTGCTGGACAAGCGAGGAGCGATGTAGCGCTGGTAGAGATATGAAAATAACACGACAAGCCAGCTGCCCATCTCGCCGATGAACATTTGAATGCTATCATTATTGAGATGATATAAGCATTGTATAACTAATTGGTATAGAAAGAGAGAGCGAGGGGAGAGATAGCATACGTCTGGATCACCGGTTGCTCGAAGGTGTGACGATACTTGGGGTCCGGAGAGTCACAATTGCGAACACATTGCATATCCTATCAGCAGCCATTGTCAGTCATGTTTCGAAAAAGGCAAGATAATCAGTGGAGCGTCAAACCTGATACTTGTTGAGGATTGTATTGCAAACCCCAGTCACGAGCATCATCGTGACCAGGAAGGGGACGGTGGCTTTGCTCGCCATGATTGCTGTTTGTTGGAAGCTAACAACAAATGAAAACGAGCTTTGCGATGTATACAGATAAAGCTCGCAGAGAACGAGTCCAATTTATGGGGGGAATGGTTTAATGTTTATCCAAGGAAGCGCGATAGAGAGACCCGGCCAAGGGGCGCAAGAGGCCAGTCGCAAATGCTGTGATAGAGAACAGAGAGAAGAAAGCGGGATAAGTCTATTCTATTGATGACCCATCATGGAAGAAGATGGGGTTTGGGGGAGGTGGTTGGTTGCTGGTTGTTGGTGGTGGGGAATATCACGGAACAAAGACGGGGGAGGATGGAGGAGGAGGAGGAGGAGGAGGAGGCGGAGGAGAAGGTAAATGACGGTGGATCGACCTAAAGTTAGCTTATCGGAACGGCAGCTGATCTCAAATGCAGTGAGTGAGTGGGGACAAGCCAGCCATCACGGGATCCTTACTTAATCATCCTCTCTCCGCTCTATCCATTGTTCCATTGTATTGATTGTATCCACACTACTACACCTAACAAGGTCCTCATTCACATCACGATTTCAATTCCTGGCTATTTCTACAGAAGTGTGGAAGTTCGTAAAGGCTGTTCCGACTCGAGGTCGGATCCAATGATTGTATTAGCCCTAGAAATGCTGCTAATCTCATGAACTCCCAACTCAAAAGACACTTCGCTGTCTGCCAGGGCCACAAAAAAAACAAAAAAAAAAAAAAAAAAGAGGCTCTTCTTTTTCCTCCTTTAGCTCCTTGCAACGCCATGGCTAAGAATGAAATGATAGCAAAGTGTAGAATGAAGACCCAGGCAATCACTCCTGTGTCCCCCGGTTAATATACATCCGGCCTGCAATCAATTATGCCAGCAGAAACATAGAATCCACCACGCCATTCACCAGCTCCAAAATCATAAACAGCGCTCATGAGATAACAGAAAAACATGGACTAGATCACATGGCAATGATGGCAATTCCACTGTCGTCAACATTCATGCCCGTGTCTTTGCGATCAATCATCTCCCAATCAATGTCGTCCCATGAATCGTTCATCAGAAGACCGTCCTCAAACCGGCCCGGGAGGTTGATCCAATCCACCGGTATCCAATTTTCATCCGCCATTTCTCCGGTCTTGACATTGACCTCGACACTCTTTGGTAGCTCGTTGTCCTTAGGGGTCTGGGTGATAAGACCGGTCTCGATTGAATCCGGAGTGTCCTCGGATTGTGAATTGGTAAACATTTCGGGGTTTAGAAACTCGTCCATCGCTCCAAAGCCCAGGCCCGCATCATCCCCGAGATCCAAGAATGTGTCCTGGATCGCTTCGAGGGAAATGGCACTGTTTGCCCATGGGTCGGCCGTCATCACGTCCATTGACGGTGGTGCGTGTTCCAGGGGCTTGGTCGCTTCTTTCTTATCGTCCTTGCTGGTTGTCGGCTTGAGAGGAGATGACGTAGGTACTTTGGCTGAAGAAGTACGAGGAGTTAGTTGCAGATTCGAGGCCGGGGAACTAGGCTTGGGTCCCAATTGACTGGGAGCATGGCCCATGGGGGTCGCACCCCCAGGAACTGGCGTACCTCCAAGCTTGGTATCGTGTTTCGCTGGAGATGATGCTGGGCCACGCTTGCCAGGGGCCTGTGAGGTGTCCTTACTGCTTTGTAATCCTCCTTGCTCTTCCTCTTTGACAAGGTTGGTACGGAAACTCTCCAGGGCAAACTCCAGCGGATTTTCGACTGGCTCTTCGATCTTGTGGCATTCTTCGACGTGACTGTCAAGCGCGCTCTGAGTGGCAAAACCATGATGATGGTTCTGACATTCGGGGACACTGCACTTGAAAGCGCCGCTGAAAGCTGCACCAGCCAGTTTTACCTCTGCGCCTGTTTGCTTGTTTGCTTGAGCCTTGGGCACGGAAGTTCCAAGCACGGGGGTAGCACCGGCATGAGACTGCTTTCGCTTCTTCGGAGGGGGCAGCTTCAACTGCTCGGGAGGTATACTACCGGGTCCATAGGCGTGTGGAACACCCTGAGGCGATGGCGCGCCAAAAGGCGCCTGCGGAATGCCGGGAGGTCCCGATGCGGTTTGGCTGGAGGCTCGACGAGCACGTTGAAGAGCCTCTTCCTGTTGCTGTAATTGGTGCAGGTTCGTCGCGTTCAGAGCGGGCATGTTGTTTGGGATGCTGGCCGGTGGCATAGATGCACCCTGTGGGGCACTGGGTCGCTGACCAGGCACCTGGCTTTGCTGCTGGTTGACTCGAGCGATCATATGATGGAACAGCTTTTTGATATAGTTAGTGGTTCCTGCGAGGTACTCGGGCGTGATCGTGTACTGGTCAGCAAGTGCCCAATCAGATCCGGTTTTGAATTGTCTCATCAATTGTATCCGCTGGAGAAGCCATTAGCTAAATGCAGACGCGGGTTGAAAGGAGACGAGGGCTAACCATCGCAAGTAAACTGCGGACATTTCGCTCCTGGCCGGGTATCTTTGCTATAAATTGAACAAGCGCATCCATCCTACCCAAATAGTCTGTCGAGTCACGCAGCTGCTGAGACATGCTTGCCTTCTGCTCCGGTGTGATTGTAACAGGCTCAGCAGGCGGCGCAGTTTTAGCAATTTCGTCGTACATCATTCGGATCCTTTCTGGTAGGTTGTTCCATGCATCTTCAGCGGAAGTCCTACTGATGGATCCACGGCCTTGTGCTTGTTGCCTCCGCAAATGTAGCTCCAGCTGGGCACGTTGCTGAGGCGTCATAGCCGCCAGCTGTTCGCGGGTGAAGAACATGTTGGGCCTGTTGGGAACGGGGACGGGTCCTCCTTGTGAAGCGACAGGTTGAGTCGACTTTTGGATGGGCGTGGTTTGAGCTTCCGTGGGCTCCTCATTTGGAAGCTTCCTCTTGGGTGCCTGCTTAGTGACGGACGCTTTGTTTCCTTTCCCGGCAACTGTAGCCTGAGCCTTTGCCGTCCCATTTTGCGGACCCTGCTGCGATGTAGACTGTGGAGCTTGGGACTCTAGCTTGACTTGAGGAACTGTGGGAGGAACAGTGACAGGAGGCTGCGAAGTTGTCTGAGGCTGTTGACCCTGTTGACCCTGTTGAGCAGCCAAGGCACGAGCTTGCGCTGCTTGTATCTGCTTCTGTCTGTTCCGGTGAAGCAGATCACGGAGCTGTTCGTCACTCAGACTCTGAACTTGTGGACCAAGGCGCTGCCTGGCCAGCTGAATATCTTGTGGAGTGATCGGACGTATGGCAGGCATATTGATGGATGGTTGCTGCTGACCGGATGCGAATTGATTATTCATGAAGGGTTGCGATTGTCCCTGGAATTGTGTTGGCATCCAAGGGCCTTGACCGTTCTGTTCCGCGCCACGGCCGCCTTCTTTCGATTGGGCAAGAATCTGGGCAAGATGCAGTTTCTGCAAAGCCATTAATTTTTGTATGTCTACGCCTCCAAGTAGTTGTGGGTTCGAAGCCGCCAGTTGTTTCAGTTGACCCCATGTTTTGATATGTTTCGGGACAGGCGACGAGATGTTCGGATTGTTGTTCAGAATCGCTGGGGGGAAATGCAAGCGGTCCATTTCCTTGATTTGGTCAGGGGACATTTCAATGCCTCCGCCATGTTGGCGAAGAAGCTGCAACTTGTACATGTCATGTTGGCGCTGTTGCTGTTGCTGTTGTTGTCGCTGCTGAACCGACATCTGTTGTCCAGGCAGCATCTGGCCGTTCATGCTCGCAATGTGCTGTTGCAAATTGAGAGGTGTTCGCATGTTCTGCCCGTTGCCAATCTGGCCGGGCAACATCTGCTGGCCTTGGCCTTGCTGTGGGAAGTTTTGCTGCATCTGGATGGACTGTTGTTGATTTGCCCGTAACAGAGCCTGGTTGTTCGCCAGCCGGCGCTGCTGGAAAAAGAGATTCAACTGTTCATTGCTCATTTGGCTCAGTTGCTCTTGAAGTTGTGGAGGCAGCCCGGGTGGTATTTGAGGCCGTTGCATCGATGGCTGTCCGCCCATGGACTGGACATTAGCCTGCTGCTGCCCCATGCCAGGAGCGCGAGACGGAGGCCGAACCTGTGCAGCAACCTGCGCGGGAGACATTTGACCGGGGGCCATAGGACGGTTCAGCATGGGCATTGCGGGACTTTGTTGCGTCATTTGGTGTTGCATCTGGGACCCGGCTTGTCCATTTTGAGTCATTGCGATCTGCGCTCTTTGCGCTGCCTGAACGCGTGCTGCCTGTTGGGCTTGGGTCTCGTTTTGTAGTTGCGATGTTTGTTGAGATCTACCTTGCGAAACATTCTGTGCGCCCTGTGGATGCTGCGCAAGAAATTGAGGGCTGATACCGGATTGTGCGTTTTGGTTGAGCTGAGGGCCCATCTGGAACATATTCGATGCCGTCTGATTAATCGGCAAGGAACTAGCTGGCACCACAAGCTGGCCCGCTTCCTGAGACCGCAACCCATCCGCCTGTTGCCCTTGAATGTTGTCGACACTACCGATGAACGATGGCTCCGGGTTCTGTTGATTTCCCATGGGGTATGCGGAGTTGCGTTGTAGGTTCATCATGTTTGTTAACATTTGTCGCTGCTGTGGATTCATCGTTTCTGCCAGCATTGCAGCCCCGTTAGGGTCGACCCCATTACCCTGAGCACGAGCCATCTCCATTCGGTTTCGCTTGAACCGTCTAAGCTGGGTCAGAGCCTGCGAGCGGAAGAAGTAAGTCAACGGGTCCATATTCTTCTTTGATAGGTATTGGCGCTGCTCTGGCGACATATTCTGCAAATTCAACTTGATCTTCTCCAAATCTTCCTGGGGAGTTTTTGAAATGATTTGGCTTGCAACTCGACAGACTTGCTCATATTCTTGAGCGGAAAGAGTTTGGAGTTCGTCGTTGTATGGAAATCCAACGCCGGGCCTTTGCTGAGCTCTTTGCTGCATTATGTTCTGCTGTTGCTGTTGCTGCTGTTGCGGCTGCTGTTGCTGTTGCGGCTGTTGGGGTTGTGGACGATGTTGCATTCCATTTTGCTGACCCATGTCCCCAAGACCCATTGACATCTGTTGTTGCCCTGGCATCGGAGACGCCTGCATGGGGTGGTTCATCTGTGCAGGAAATCCTGCCTGACCAACACCAGTCATCCCCGCTGTTGGACCTTGGGGCATCATTCCGTTCTGCATCACAGCAGCTTGTCGTGCGCGAGTGTCGCGAATATGAACAAGCTTCTCGTTACAGTTCCTCTCGTATTCGATCTAGAAGTGTTAGGCTGGTGTAGCAATGGGGTCCAAAACGCAGGAATGCACACCTTTTCTCTTGCGTCTTTGAAGGCTTTCTGTTCGAAAGCCAATGCCGCATGAGCGGCACTTTGCGTGTCGATGCGGGGTGTTATGAGACGGAGTGATGTAATCCTGGCGTGGAAATTGTTAGGTTGACAAAGCTACGCCTAGTCGAACTGGTTACACGAATCTCAAGCCACAGGAAGCGGTCAAGAGCACGTGTATGGACACAACGGCCACTTACATTTGATAGACCTTCATTGCCCGATCTCTGACCGGTACTTCCGCTCGCCATCCTGAATACTGACCCTGGGCCTGCAGAGCCTGCGCGACCTGAGACAAGATTATCGAATTGTTGTTACCGCCATTCATACCTCCGCCCACGTTGGGGAGGTTTGCCGGATTCATGTCAACAACCCCCTCAATGGGGATCGAGGAGCAGTCCGCGCAAGCCTTCCTTTGACGTCAGCATTCGCTGGCCCGAATGCCAAGCGTTACACTTTGCGATTGATTCTTCGTGGCTGAGGAAGACTTGATCGCACTCCAGATATCTCTATCTCGGTAAGAAGCTGGCTTGTGGGGATCCACCGCAAGAGAGGCTTG